TAATGTTTTGTATTAATCCAGATATTTGTAGAAAATGTAGTAGGTATATATGTATGTTATTTATTTTGTTAGTATAGTCTCTGATTGATAATATTATTTGTCGTGTTATCAAAGAGGGGTTACAAATAATAATCGTTACTTCACAACATCAGTTTATTCTCAACCCTCAAACATACATGCTTGCCCGAGCTTCGGCTACGTTCACATGACATCCCTGTCATCTGTGTTGCCTAACTCCGGCGCCTATATCTTAATCTAAGCTAACAACACATCTCCTTTTTTTTATAAAAGATCCCTGTGTCATTAATGATCTTATACCTAAACTAACTTAAACTACTACAAACATAATCTGTTAAATGAACCGGTTTCTTCACAAGTCTTTTTGGCCTGCTAGGCTTTACGCACTCAAAGTCCGATACACTATCGCTTTTATCCTGACCCGATGGAGGTAAAACATGATTTCCACTTTGTTCGATTTTGTCCTGAAATACACTGGGTTCCCCCCTACTACTTTCCTCCATTATTTTACCCTGTATGTCACCATTGCTTTGATTAGAGCAAGGCATTAGCTTTGTGCTACTAGAAATTGGCGGAACATAATCATTTGAGGATTCTGGTTGGGTGCTCAATACAGGGAAACAGTAGGGTGCATGAATCAAATGCCATCTATTTCTTCTAAATTTCCCGGTTTCAGTTTCAATTATATAGGACCTGGGTTCCTGACAGATCGCAACAACTCGCCCATATTTCCTGATATCAACCACCCACACAGAATCACCAACCTTAAGAGGATCTAAATCCTTGGCATTGTGTCGCTTATTGTAGTTTTTCACTTGTTTATCCTTTATTTCATTCTTTTTATTTTTAGTGTTTGGTTCTTTTGAAAAGTTTAATAAGCTTGGAAGCTGGGGTAAGTTAGATCTTAATTTTCTATTCATTAATAATTCAGAAGGTGAAACACCACATTCTAGGGGTGTACATCTATATGCTAACAATGCCAAACTTAGGTCCTCTTTTTTATTTTTCTGAATTAATCTTTTTGCAATTTGTACAGTGCGTTCCACTCCACCGTTGCTCTGAGGCCAGTGCGGACTGCTCGTCGTATGAACAAAATTATATTCTTTTGAAAACTTTATAAATTTTGATGAAAATTGAGTACCACAGTCGGATCTAACTTCCTCTGGGATACCATAACGAGAGAAAATATCTTTAAGCTTAGGAATAATGGCATCTTCTGTCATATTGGTTAAAGTAAAAATTTCAAACCAATGTGAAAAGTAGTCAGTGGCAATCAAATACCACTTATCATAACATTTAAACAAATCAACCCCCAGTTTTTGCCACGGCCTTTGTACAGTATTGTCTTTATGAAATGTTTCTCTATGATTTACTCTGTGTTCAACACATTGGGGACAATGTGTGACAAGGTTATTAATCTGGGATGACAAACCCAGCCACCAAACGCTCTGTTTGGCACGATCTCGACATTTTACAATTCCCATATGGCCTGTATGAATAAATTCCAACACCTTGAGTTGAAGACTCTTAGGAATGATTATGCGAGACCCTTTTAAAAGTAATTGTTCCGAATAGGAAATTTCATATCTATATTGATAGTATGGCAACAATTCAAATGGCAATTTAGATCTTTCAGGCCAAGAAGACAAAGAATATTCTTTTAGTTTTTTACAAATATATTCATTTTCTTGTTCTGTTTTTATTAAATTCAAAAAATAATCTTTAATTGGTAAATTATGAATAATTGACTGCACATATGCTGCAGTTTCAGCAGTTAGTTCTTTATTAGCTAACGTATCTGTTTGTAAAGGGGCCCGACTTAAAGTATCTGCTACAATTAAATTTTTTCCCGGCGTGTAGATTACAGTATACTTGTATCGCATTAAACGCATTCGAAATCTTTGCAAACGTGGCGTTAACTCATCTAAATTTTTAGTTTGCAGAATTTGTAGTAAAGGTTTATGGTCTGTTTCAAAAATTAGGTTAGGAACTCCTGAAATAAAATCATAAAAATATTCTGCTGCCCATGTAAGTGCAAGAGCTTCTTTCTCAATCTGAGCGTATCGTGTTTCAGCTGAGTTCAGAAGCCTAGATGTAAAAGCCACTATTTCCCGAGTATGATCTACATTTTCTTGAAATAGACATGCACCTATACCAAAACAACTTGAGTCTGCACTAACAATTATGGTTTTATTAGCATCAAAAAACGCTAGATTTGGAGGGCTCTCTAACTTTTGTTTTAAAGTGCTGAAAGCTTTATCTTGTGCTGGACCCCACAAAAAGTTAATATTTTTTTTTAGTAAGTGTGTTAATGGTTCAAGAATCTCAGATTTATTATGAATGTATTTTGCAGCAAAATTAATCATACCCAGCCATCTTGACAGCTCAGTCTTATTTTTTGGTTCAGGAAAATCACGGATAGCTTTAACCCTATCTGGATCAATTAATATCCCTTGCTCAGAGACCATATGACCCAAGTATTTAGCTGTTTTTGTTGCTATAGAGCATTTGTTTTTATTTAGTGTAATACCTTCCTTATGAAGTTTTGTTAGGACTGTGTTCAAAATATTGTCATGTTCCTCTATTGTCCTTGCATGAATAAGAATGTCATCTATATGGACAACACAGCCTTCAATGCCAGTTAAGATTTTTGAAAATCTCATAGTAAAATACTCTGGGGCACAAGATATACCAAATGGAAGCCTTTTAAAGAAAAATCTGCCAAAAGGTGTTATAAAAGTTGTTAACAACTGACTTTCCTTATTCAATTTTATTTGGTAAAACCCACTTGTGGTATCCAATTTTGAGAAGAATTTAGACCCTTTCAACTGTGCTAGTGTATGAGATATTTTCCCGAGAGGAAAATGTGACCGTAACACGTTTTCATTAAGTTTAGTATAGTCACCACAAAGCCGTACACAATCTCCCTTGTCCACACAAACAATTGGGCTGACCCAAGAAGTAGGATCTTCAATGGGTTCAATTATCCCTAATTTTAGCAATCTATCAATTTCAATTCTTAATTTTGGTAACAGAGGTAAAGGAACAGTTCTGGGAACGCTCTGTACATAAGGTTTAGCATCTGGCTTAATTCTAATTGACATTTCCATTTTAAATTCACCTATATCACTAAAAATACCAGGAAATGTTTTAGCAACAGACTCTAAATTAAATTTTGAAAACATATTAGTACTCTCAGATTGATTACAATGAACAACACTGCAACTGATTTGATTTACCTGTTTAAGCTTACAATTAGAAAAATTTAGAACATTAAACTTAATGATTGATTCTCTGCTTAATATAGGTTGTCTCAACTTCCTAATACAATATATTGTTTCATCATTTGTAAAACCGTCATAAGTAAATTTTATATGTAGCTTACCCACTGTGTCCAATTTATGATCGTCCGCTGCACCAATTGCATCACATGCCACAATTTTACCCACATATTCTGGAGGTAATTTTTCATAGGGAAAGCAGTTAACATCTGCTCCTGTATCCACAAAAAAAGGTACCTTAAATTTGTCATCCAATAAGATGTCTACATACCAACGATCCTTCTTGTCTAGGTACACTTGGCCAATAAAGGAATCTGTATGTACCACTTGATTTACTGAATCCCTTCCTTCGTCATCTGTACTACTGCTACTGGTGGACCTTGAACACTTAACAGCTCTGACAGCTTTCTTCCTGCACATCACACTCCAATGACCTCTACGTGAACAAGATCTGCATTCAGAGAACTTGGCTGGACATTTCTCCCTATTTTTACATGTAGGTATGCCACAGTATCCACATCTGTAACCTTGATGTCTTTTATCACTACGCTCCCTGTAGTCCTGTTTAACTGCACTAACTGACTGCTCCTGTCTCATAATTCTATTTTGACTATCTTGAAGTTCAGCTTGGCGTGCTATTTGTATTGCCTTCTCTAGTGTCAAACCATCATTTAGTTGCATTCTTTCGCTCACCTTTTTATCAGCTATTCCGATAACTATCCTGTCACGAATTAACTCATCTTTAAGAGCTCCATAGCTACAGTGCTCTGCAAGAGTATGTAGACTTGAAATAAAGTTTCCCACAGGTTCTCCTGGCCTTTGTACCCTTGAATTAAATTGAAATCTCTCAAAGATTGTATTTCTTCGGGGAATAAAATGATTGTCGAAAATCTGCATTACATCTTGAAAGGATGCATTCTCCACTGGTTGATTTTGAAGTAAAATATCTTCTGCTTCATTTCCCATTAAATACAACAGTAGGTCTAATTTATCCTTGTCAGATTTTTGTCCAAATCCACTTACAGACATATATCTCTCTACTCTTTTCTTCCATTGGGGCCATGTCTGGGGCTGTGTAAAATCAAATTCGCTTGGAGCCGAAATGTTCGCAAACACTTCTTTATTTATTTGGATAGGTGCATCCATTTTAAGGATTTTAGGTCCCCTCTGATTTATAGGTTATGCATAAGATTTGCACTGTTGTCACGTTCGACCACTCTTTGCTTGTTTAATGTTAACAAAACAAAGCACCAGCTGCCACCATGTCGTGTTATCAAAGAGGGGTTACAAATAATAATCGTTACTTCACAACATCAGTTTATTCTCAACCCTCAAACATACATGCTTGCCCGAGCTTCGGCTACGTTCACATGACATCCCTGTCATCTGTGTTGCCTAACTCCGGCGCCTATATCTTAATCTAAGCTAACAACACATTATTAAAGAAAATTTGTGATCACAACTTGATTGTTTTAATTGTAGTGATTGATTACAGTTAAAATCCAATAGGTATAAGTGTTAATTAAAGCACTATTTTGTTTCACCTATTGACTTTTCACTAAAAGGCACAATTTATCCCTAATATATTATGCAATGTTGTGAATTATTATATTAACAGTATTTTTTTTCTACAAAATATATCATATACCTATTATCAATTGTAAATATCTAAAACTTGCTTAATGAATGTTTTTGTTTTAGTCATTGGTTGGAAAATTCAAATCTATTATTAGTAATACACCTTTGTCAAAGTGGTTCAGAAGACAAGACGATAGTGTTAAGCCAACAATAAGAAGACGTGAAGAAGAAGATGATGATGAAGAAGACACCGAACAGTTTCAACCCCCCGCAAAAAGAGCAAAATTTGTGGTCAATCGGGAAGATGTCAGTGTTTCACATATAAGATCCAGTGATAGTATCAAAGACAAATTGATAAATAGGAATTATACTAGTTTTCCAGAACCAGTAGCAGGTCCATCTGGTATACAAACACGAAATTTACTTAACAATGTTAATTCTTCTATAAATAGTGATATAAATGTACAGTTGTTTAGTAGTGACTTTTTAAATGGACATAAAGACTCTGATAGTGAGGAATCCACCAGTGGTTATTCTTCTGTAGCTAGGATTGGGAGCAAAGAGCATGTTTGTCAGAGTGAAGGAAGCTCAAAGCAGCCTTCTCCTCTACAAACCACCTCGCCAAATAGGAGATCTCTCTTTGAAACCCCAAGTAGGTTATTTTGCTGTTTTCTATATTTGAGAATATGTTGCTATGAAATAAGTTAAACTGTCATCCATAGATTCACAAGAGTAGCCATAGCTTAACATGAAATTGCAACATTTACGGAAATACAATTCTACAATTTTGAGAGAGGATTTTGTAATCTGTAATCATGTTCTTATTTAATTCAGTATTGGCGACGTGCAAGTACTTGGATGTGATACGAGAAACGATCGTGCGCGAGTAGCGGAGAAATCTTGCATTTTTTACTGCAAATTTCATAGATTTCATGAATTCATATTGTCAATTGTCATATTTCATATTCGTTTGTTTATTTACACCTTCTGTCACTGAAGAAAATGGGATTTAGGAAATGCTGTGTTATAAATTGTAAAAATACAACAAAAAATTGTCAATTTAAGTTTTATTTGTTTCCAACTTCGAAGCACAAATTACTACAAAGAGAAAAGTGGATTTATATCATAAAAAGGCATAAGTAACATAACCTAAATTATGCATTATTCTTGCGCCCGATTTTAAAGTCAGTTTGAAATAAATAATAAATAAAAGTTCACTTTTAAGTGTAAATTTTAGTTTCATAACACTCACTTAGAGTTTATGTTAACCCAAAAATCAAGTTTAATAATGTTTAAATTTAATTTTTTTGAAGTTTACAAAAATGCATCATCAAGTTCAAGTTTTTCTGAAGATATATATTCGTTGTCCAAAAGTTTACAGGGAAAGAATTAATTGTTCAAACCAATATGATGATATCATGGTTTAACCTGCTAATTTATGCATTCGCATTATTTATGGTAATTTATTTTCTTAATTCTTCCATTCTTTTTTGACATTTGCCACTACTAAAGCTTTTCCATTTGACTCAGTGCTTGGTTGAAAAGTTATTTGATGATTTACTTTCTCAAATCCAGTTTTTATTATTGCATCCATATTAACAGTAATGCTGTAATTTAATAATATATTTATTTGTATTTACACTACATACAAACGTTTACCTTTTAATAACATACCGACATAACCTCAATCTTACTTTTTCTTCTTATTCTTTTTTGGGGCTACGTCCTTGACAGTTATCCGGTAACCTCGATCTAACATGAAAGCGCAGTAAATTTTGCTGATTTACGACACCAGGTGTCGCTGTTCCGAACTTGCACGGTCCCAATATCCTAAATTAGGGTTGAGCAACCTTCTTAATTAACAGGCCAATTTAAATTATAATTTTTTTTGCGGGTTGCACCTAAAATAACATGTATCGATAATTTACAAAATTGTGCTTAAAATAAAAAATATAAAATTTAAAAAAAGTTAACATTTTGTATACAAATTTTAATGCATAATAAAAACAAACAAGAAAGGAATAGAAAAACGAAGTTACTTCAAATTTTTAATGAGAAATTTGGTATTGTTTTTTCGATCCAAGCTGATCAATATCAGTCAGAATTGATGAGGTAGCTTTCTAGTTGTGCGTCACACAGTCGTGATCGGTGGTGATTTTTGAATTGTGGTTGATCAGTGGTTGAAACCAATTGTTCACAAACATACATACCACTGAATAGTGACATCATATGCATTTTTCATCAAAAACGGAAAGCTTTCCAACACAATCCTGCATCCAAGTAAAGCCCCAAAAATTTTATTTGCTTGTCTGCATCCCCGGAAGGGTGTCTGCATCTTTGCAGGTAATAGTAGTGTCATCAGCTAAAAAAAGTAAATGAACTGGTGAGATCTGACTGTGGAAGATCATAGAAATAAGTGGTCCCAGTATTGACCCTTGAGGTAATCTGATATTTATAGTGCTCTCTACTGACCTCATTCCCCTCACTTACATGCTGCTTTCTATTGGAGAGATAGTTTGAGATCATTGCAATGGTAGTACTATATCTCTGCAATTTTCAGTTCAAGAGAAGCAGTTCATGTGAATCACAATCAAATGCTTTCCTCAGGTCACAGACTGTAGGGTCAGATCTTAACTATTTGTAAAGAAATTTTTGGATTCAAAATACTTCACAATCATTGCTGCCATACATTTCTCAAATACCTTTGAGATTATAGGAAGGAGTAATCTTCTTCTTACAGTGCCTTATCCTTAAGGACGTTGGCCATTACATTTGCCCATTTAATCTTATTTGTAGCAGCCCTGAATAGTTCTATGGAGGTCATGTTCGTCCATTGCCGTAGGTTTTTAAGCCAAGAGTTGCGTCTTCTTCCTGGTTCTCTTTTGCTATTGACTTTGCCTTCGATCATAAGTTGGAGCAGTTCATACTTTTGATTTCCTATGATGTGACCAAAATATTGTGTTCTCCGTTCTTTTATTATAAGCATAAGCTCTTTCCTTATCCATCCTCCGCAAGACTTCCACATTTGTTGTATGGCTCATGTAGGATATTCTGAGCATTTTACGGTAACACCAGAGTTCAAATGCTTGGATTCTTTTTTGTGTTGCTTCTGTCATTGTCCAGGCTTCAACACCATAGAGCAAGGTGGAGAAAACATAGCACTTAAGTATTCTAGTTCTCAATGAGATGCCCAGATGGCGGTTGCATAGAACTTTTTGCATTTTGTAAAACATTGCACGTGCCTTTTCCAGGCGTATTCTTATCTCTAGTGAGTGGTCCCAAGTTTCATCAAGATTACTTCCAAGGTACGTTGTTCTTGTTACTCTTGCCAGATCTGTTCCGTCGACATTGATCTTCACGTCCTATAATTGGAGAGGAAGGAGTAATATTGTCCTATAATTGGAGTGGTCATCATTGTTACCCTTCTTATATACTGATACCAACATTCCTTTTTTGAGGAGATCAGGAAATATTCTTCTTACCAATACTCGCAAGTTCTTTAACCATGAGGTTCTTGTTCGTCCTGGACTGCATTTGCCTGCTAATTTTCCTTGCATGATATTTTGTAGCAACCTATATTTGGGACCTCTCATTACATGTCTGAAATACTGCAGCTTTCTCTGCTTTTGATGCTTTTTATGATATAGGAAATATGCTTTCTTTAAAACAGTGATTTATAAGTATTGTAGAGTACTAGCAATGAGATGTTTCACTCTTTTTATTATATCAACATAGTTTGAAGTAGTCCCTACTTTTCTTGTTCACCATATTTGTTAAAATATCTTTGACTTCAATGAGAGAAACGCCTTGGAAGGAAAATACCTACTGGGACAAGGCTAAGGGATTGAACAAGGAAGGTTGAATCTGGGTCTGCAAGTTACAAGCAATATTAGTGAAGAAATCATTAGGTGAAATCTTTGTTTCCAACTTGCTCTTAAACTTGTTTCGATGCTCATTGATAACATCCCACATACACTTAATTGGATTAGATGATGTTGTAATAAGGTTATCATTGGCCTTTTGTTTAGCAGATTTTATTGCTAATTTTTAATGTGTTTTGTGATTTGGTAATAGATTTTTCTGAGCTAATTTTCCAGAAAAAACAGTGGAAGAAAGCCCCCACAATCCATTATGAAATGCAAAGAATTTAGCTTCAGCAGACAAGTCAAGAGTCTTTTCGAAACTGCCATTTTAAACCTTTGACATATGAGAAAAAAAAGCATTTAGCCTCTTGAGTAATTGGTCTAAAAACAGATGTAACAAGTGCTGGATCGTTGCCACTAGTAGGTACAAGGAAATCAATAAGCTGGTCACTGATATCAGAGAGAGAGAGATCACAGCAATCTCAACAACATTCACAATACAGTTATGATGATCCAAACTGAGAAATATATTCTCATGGCATTTACTTCATTTACTAATTTTAAATTATAGATGGAGTTAAGACAAATAGCTGAACTTCCCGCTATGCTGTCTCGGCAACTCGCTGCAGCCAATCTATAATATATGTTATATCTAAGGCTTCAATCTTCCATTTGTGTGCCAATGCTCAATTACACACAGTTGTCACAGTTTTTGTCAGCTAAGAGAGTTTCAAATTAATTTGCTTTATTCCTCATTGAATGTACATTTATGTGAAATCGCTTTAGTTTGTCCTTGTCTTTTCACCACCCTCAGGCTCTTGACACTTGGATATAGCATCTTTTTTAAATCGAGGACCATCTACAGTTTTTGGTTTCATGACCTTATCACACTCACTTCCTTGTACTTCTAAAAATGTCCACCCCTATTGTCAAAAACATCTTTATACTGGTTCATGTGAAATCTTTTTACACCTATATCAGTTGATACATCTCATCCTTGTGGTTAAAATCTCAGATACTACAAATGCTTTAACATAATGTTCCTGACTAGACAATTCTTTTACTGCGATGGTAGTCTTCTATGCCATTTCTCCTTTAGGAATCCATAAATATCATTTGTGGAAGTTATTCTAAGCTAAAACTAATTCTGAGATGGCTTCACTGTATAAATTAAACAATAATGGTGATAAAAGACACCCTTGGCGAACCCCACAGTGAATCTAGATATCCTCATTCAGTTCATTTTCAACTTTAACTTTCGCTATTTTGATTTCAATATAGGCTACATATAATTCTAATATCTCTACTGTCTATGTTCCACATCCCATGTTCCCAGACCTTTCCTAAATCCCGTTTGTACATTACTTATGCCTTCATCTAATTTCTTATGTATTCTATTGTGAATTACTTTTGAAAACAGTTTCAAGACATTGCTCATTAAGGCTATGGTGTGATGTTTATTGCACTCCTTTGCATTGGCTTTTTTGGGAAGTAGTATAAATGTTAATTGGAGCCATTCTTTAGGTATTATCCCTGTTCTATATATGGTATTAAATAGATCCAAAAGAAGATCAATAGAATCGTGGTCCACAATTGTGAGTAATTCAATGGAAACTTCATCAGGCATAGGAGATTTAAAACTTTTAGCTTGCTTCAGTGCATATTTGATTTCTTCTTATACAATGTCAGGCCCAGTATCATCTTTTGATGCTTCTATTCTCTCTTTTTATCTTCAAAAAGTTGTGCTATATATTGTGTCCATCTCTGAATTTTCTTGTTAGTAACTATTATAAGGTCACCACTTTCATCTCTTAGTTGCCTAATTTGAACTGTTTTTCTCATTCTTGTTAGTTCTCTAATTAGTTTATCGATGTTAAAAAGACATATTTTTTCTTAATTTCTTCCAGTTCTTGACATTGGTCATGTAACATTCTCTCTTTAACTTCTTTTATGTAGGTGGGCCAATTGACATGGTGACGTGATGGGCTAGTATACACTAGGCCTTTAGAATAAAAAATATTGGTATTACCATATTCTAACAGAGGCATTCATGTGTCAATTAAAAGCGTCTTAGCTTGTTCTTGTAAGAAAACAGTGATTCGCTGCTTTACCATAAACATCAAGGCATCACTGGAATTCCTTATTTTAAAGTAGTTGTTAGCTTATTTTGAAAGATTCTTGATAGTTCAGAACTTATGAAAATATCTAAAGGGCATATGAGATTCAACTTTGTTGTATATGTTACAAAACTTACCAAAAGTGCCTAAAAATACTTTAGATTATCTTATTTTTTGAACAAAGCAGAACTTTGTAAACAAGTTAGGTTATGTAGGCTATTCTTGTGTGGTAGTGACCAAAGCTATCAACGAAGTAATGTTTTATTTCAAATTAAGCTCCTAATTACAATTTTTTTCCAAGGCTGAATATTAATACACATTTTTTGTTGATTTTCAGCTGTAAATATGGCAAACCGTTCACTGTTTGCGGATAGGAATACAAGTCCACAGCTCAGTACGTCATTGAGCTTAAGAAGACCCCAATTTAACGCATCAACTTTTGGTTCACCAAACTTTTTCGATCAAACATTATCCACAGAAAAAGTTATCAGTTCACCGTTTTATAGTGGAAGTACAATATATGGGGGAGCTTCAGCTTATGGAAATAAATTTGGTAGGAGAGTAAAAGATTTTAGAGCTAATCTGAAGAGATCAGTTCATATCAAACCTATTAAGAAGACTAGTGAGAATGGAAATTTAGTTTTAGGCAAAACTGCAAGGAAAATTTTAGAAACTATAGAACAATATACTACACCTGTTAATGATGCTAAGAAAATACCTGTAGCTTCAAAAAGGGCTAGACTAGATAGTAGTTTGCTTGGGCAGCACATTGGTGCAAAACCATACACTTTAATACCAGAAAATGCCTCAAACAGAGAATTACAGGTTCCTACAGTATCTGAGTTACTAAAAATGAAGCAAAAAGCAAAGCTTCAAAGTAGTACTGAGGCGGTTAGACAAATTGCCACCACGTCCAAATCAGACCTAAATACAGTGCAACAATCTTCGCCTACGAACACCTCCAAAAAAGAAACTCCACAAAAAGTGGAAACTCCTAAAACTTTTGCAACACTTCCGAAATTTGAATCATCTCAAAAAATAGAAACTGTTGCTAAGTCCAAAATTTGTCAAAGCACAGAGGCTCCTCAGCTGACAGAAACTCCTAAAGTAACAAAAACTGTTTCTAAACCAGAAACTTCTCGTAAAACTGAAGTAATACCTCAAAAAAACACAACCCTTCAAAAAGCAGAAAACACGACGAAAGAAAAGCTGAACACTTTGCCCAGTCTTCCAATAACTACACCTTTAAGTAAATCTGATTCACTTAATTCTGCAGCCATTAAGAAAACAGTTGAAAAAATACCAGAAATTACTGTGACTACTACCCCAACAAAACCTCAAAATTCACAGACATCTTTTGGTATTGGAGGTATCAAAAAAACCAATCAAAAGGAACAAATACTAACCACTCAATTTAAATTTTCAGATCCATTAATAGTTGCTGAAAATCTGAACAGCATCATAGCCATAAATAATTTCAAATTTAGCGAACCTTTGGCTAATATAAACAAAACTGATAAGAGCTCGAAGAGTTTTAAAGAGAAGAACAATGGTCAAAGTAATTCCAAAGATATTTCATCGAATACTTCATTATTAGATAAATTTAAACCAGCAAGTGGCACTTGGGAATGCAGCACATGTCTAATTAGGAACAGTCAAGATAAGACAAAATGCATAGCGTGCGAAACTCCCAAAGTAAAACCAGCACAGATCGAGAATACGAAAACTTCATTTGGAGATAAGTTCAAGATGCCAGAAAATATGTGGGAATGCCCGTCTGTATGATTAGGAATGCAAATGATAGTGCCAAGTGTGTAGCATGTGAAACACCTAATCCAAAAGCTCCATCAGTGGTTACTTCATCTTCGAATTTCCTAGCAAAGTTCCAGCCTCCAACAAACAGTTGGGAATGTTCAACTTGTCTTGTAAGGAATAAACAAGAACATGAAAAATGTATTGCTTGTGAGAATCCTAGGGTAGCGAAAACAAATGTAGTGGATGTGATGAATTCGTTTAAGAAGAAGGCAGATGAATGGACATGTGAGGTAAGAGACTATATAGTAGTAATATGATATTCTAAACACTACGATTGTTGGAACATTTGTTTTTCCAGGTAGGGAATCATATCCACTTTTGAATTAACTTGTTATTTTGGTCTGTATTATTAGGAAATGTGCCTGATTTTTACTTATTTAATTAACTGTATAAGAGTAATAATAATAATAATAATAATCTTTATTAATAGCACATGGCTAGAAAAATATGCATATAAATACATCAATTTATACCCTTAAAATTAAATCACAATGCTTTGCTTAACATATATCTTACATAAATTTTTAAAATTGAGCTAAGTTTCCAGAAGCCTTAATGTTTTCCGGTAATTCATTGTATTGCTTTAATCCCCTATAAAAAAGATTGTTCTTACCAAAATTAGTGTTGACCCTATTCAGATAAAAGTTATTTCTAGAACGTGTGTTGTGTTCATGTACATCTCGAACAAAGGTACAATTATTACACAAATGCACAGGTATCAGACCATTTAACATTTTATAAACAAAAATCATACTATTACATACAATTGTCTGTCTTACACTTAAAACATTTGCCATTGTTAGCATGTCAGTTCTACTAGTGTATACACTACATCCTAATATTATCCTTAAGGCTTTATTTTGTTTTTTCTGCAGTACATTCATTTGAGAAGCATTCATTAAAAACAGCAATGTAGAGCAAAAATAGAGATGGCGAGCAATAATCGATTTATATATGGTCAACTTAGACCAGCAACTTAAATTTTTTGACATTCTTCCCAATGCATAGATTTTTTTTGCTATTTTGTTTGTAACAAACTTAAAATGTTCAACAAAACTTAAATTTTCATCTAATACATCCCAAATACTTATACTGAACCACTCTCTCCAAAGCAATATTATTAATTTTTACATCTTTTATTATGTTATTTAATTTAAAATTTTTATTCTTTATAAGCATCATTTTTGTTTTAGTTACATTAAGACTTAAGGAATTATTATCGAGCCATTTTAATATATTACATATCTCTTCGTTTATTATATCGATTATTTCATCTACCTTATCCCCTATTGCATATATCACAGTATCATCGGCAAACAACTGTACCTTACACTTTTTAACAACATCAACAATATCATTTATATACAGTATGAAAAGAGTAGGATCTAACACAGTTCCCTGTGGCACACCATACAGGTGTGTAACAGTAAAAATCAGGGTGTTCCCTGATTTTTACTATTTTACTTATTTAATTAATTGTATAAGAGTAATTCCACATCAACTATGCAATGTTGGTCAGGCTACCGCTCTCGATTTGGCTTACATTTTACAGACATATTCTATACTATAAAATATGATTTACCAAATTTCAACATTCTTCGTCTAAAATTAAAATTTTTCCTATATTTTTCACTTTTTACTCAATAACTATCCAAAAATACATATTCACCTAATTTCAACATTCTTCATCTAAAATTAAAATTTTTCCTATATTTTTCACTTTTCACTCAATAACTATCCAAAAATACATATTCGATGTAAAATTTTTCGCTGAACACGTTTATGATGTTAAAATTACCATATCAAGAAAAATTCGGAAAATTTGAAAGACCCTATTTTTTTTTAATGATATCTCAAAAACATATCTTTTAATTTTAAGATATTTTTCTTTCAAAATTTAGCAAAAGTTGTTAAAATGTATATTATACTTAAGGGTAAAAAGAAGCACAACTCTTATATCAGATTACGAAATGATTCACTAAAATGGTCAAATTCCCAGTTTTTTCTGAAATTTTTTTGTTTTTTTCTGACAGTTTTCTGTAATTTCTCATTGGTTTATTAACCCAAATGCCATTCCAAACATATGTTTTTCTACAAAATTTTACATAAAATAATATATTTTAATACGATTTTGTGGCAGGTAATTAGATGTCTTAGTAATTGAAAACAAATCATTGTCTTGCTATTTTCACAATTGTAATTTATTAGTTTAAATTATTACACCTTCAAAATAAATTACTAAAACTATATTTATTTAATCCTTCCTCTGAAATTTTAATTTAAATGCAAGAATTATGTGCCCTGGAAGAAAGCCAAAAATCCTAAAAAAAAATAGGTATTAATATTTGTCATAATAATTAAGGTCCATTTACAATTTTCTAAATTTCAATTTATTATTTTCAGAAATTGTTAAATTATATGATGTGACTAATAATACTTTTTATTCTTGCTTGAAAAATAATAATTAGTTATGATTCAAAATTATTTGCGAGTAGGATAATTTTAAATAACGCTCTCAATGGATCACTGTTCCACTGCGCATGACATGATTCGGCCAGTTAATACGTTGCCTGTCGTCTCGGCTATATGACCGAGAAACAAAATTGCACTGCACGCCAGCGAGGCCTTATTTGATCGAAACTCTGATGCCGTCTCGGTAACTATGGCGTGAACGGAAAGTATTACAAAATCCTCTACGGAAGGCAACGTGTTAAGAATGGTCGATTCGTTTATTCTCCTCAGCTTTGCAGTTGGAAACGGTTCAATCCATACGAAATAGTCCAATATAAATTAAGTTGGTTTCTTGACTATTTTTAATATTTTTTATTTTTCTACCTTTTATACTTCAGTCTATAGACAGTACAAAATTGCATTCATTTTATTTTTAAAAAAATTATTTTGCCGATGGCGGCGATTTTTGTTTTATCGTTTCGGTCATTTCCACGGAAAACATGGCTTCACTCTTTAGCCAATATTTTCACTTAGGTTTGTCCTAAAACAATAAATCAAAAACCAAACTGTTTGGAAAAGTATAGCATTATTTAATTACCCTTAATGCTTTAAATTATCCTCAGTTTGAAAAGATAAACTGATAAAATTCCGTTTTTCAGCATTTTTTTTAACAACATAAGGGAAGCTGATAATGGTTTGTAATTTTTTGCTGGAAAAAACATAGATACATACATACTTTAAATGAAAAAAGTTTGAGCTTTGAGACTTGTCAATTTAAAAAAAAATCAAAAATGTAATTTTTTGAAAAATTTCAAAATTTGAGCCCTTATAATATCTGATGGACAAGCAAGTAAAAATTTGAAATTTGGCTGAATGTTAGTTCCTAATGAGTAGAATAAGGGGTAAAAATTTGAAATTGTAGACTTACGGCATATAGGAGTTACAGGCCTGACAAAATGGCAAAAAATCATTAATTTGAGCGTTTGCGGTAGAGTGATTAAAATTCAAATAAACTGTCTAATGAAATAAAAATTAATGTATTTTCACCAAATTTCACAATAAATACAAATTTATACTACATTATAGAAATATTAACCTTCATTTAGAATTTTGACAGTTCAGAATTGGGATATTTCACCGCATAAATCTTGAGATATGCTATGATTGCGTCCAGTTGCTGTGTTTAGTTCTAAGGGTAATATATTCTTCAAGATTTTATGAAAAGGCACCCAAGCTTCATCATGTTTTGGGTCCAGAAGGTTCAATAAAGTGCACATAGAAGTCCGCAGACGTTCAAATTAATGATTTTTTGCCATTTTCTCAGGCCTGTAACTCCTATATGCCTTAAGTCTACAACTTCAAATTTTTACCCCTTATTCTACTCATTAGGAACTAACATTCAGCCAAATTTCAAAATTTTACTTGCTTCTCCATCAGAGATATAAGGGCTCAAATTTTTAAATTTTTCAAAAAAAGTACATTTTTGAAATTTCTTTTTGAAAAAATTGACTTGAGTCTCAAAGCTAAAACTTTTTTCATTTAAAGTATGTATGTATGTCTTTTCCAGAAAAAAATTACAAACCATTATCAGTTTACCTTTTCAAACTTTGAGGTTAAGTTAAGGCATTAAGGGTAGTTTGTAATTAAATAATGCTATAGACCATTTTTTTAGAGCATACTTTTTGAAACAGTTTGGTTTTTGATTTATTGTTTTAGGACAAACCTAAGTGAAAAATATTGGCTAAATAGTGAAGCCATGTTTTCCGTGAAAATGACCGACACTATGAAACAAAAATGGCCTCCATCGGCAAAATCAATTTTTTTAAAATAAAATGAATGCAATATTGTACAGTCTATGGCAGGGTTGTCCAACTGGCGGCCCGCGGCTGCATCCAGCCCGCGAGGCTATTTGTTGTGACCCACGTAAGATTTTCGAAAAGCATATATTTTCTTTAAATGCTGCCACTGTGAAAAAAGATTTTTTAATTTATTTTATATTTTATGGTTTAGCAGTGTTTTTACATCACAAGTACTGTACCGCGTGCCGCTTCGCGGACGTGTAACGAACACAATCGTCCTCCACCACTATGAGAACTGCACTGATTACTGCGCATCACAGTTCACGCAGGCCACACCTCCCACTGCTTACCATCCGTCGCCAGCCGCCATCGTGCCAGTGTGCTACTGACACGTAGGCTAGTCGGCTAATCTATTACGTTGCTAGTGAACAGTGAACTTGATTAATTCTTTGTCTTGATTCCTCTTATACAATAATGAGTGTAAAACCAGTAAAACGGAAAATTGATAGTGAGAACAGAATTTACAAAGAAAGTTGGGAGAGTGATTACTTGATTGCTAACAATAATGGAAAGTTGCAGTGCTTAGTGTGCATGAATGTCGTTTCAGTGCCTAAAGAATATAATGTGAGAAGACATTACACAACAGTGCATGAAAATAAGTATGCTACGTACACAAATGAAAGTCAGCGTGCCCTAGTTGCAGATTTGAAGAAAAAGCTTAAACAGCAAACTGGTATGTTCAGTAAAATATTACACTCTCAAACGCATTCTTTGCATGCATCTTATGCCGTGTCGCTTGAGCTGGCAAAGGCAAAAAAACCTTTCACTGATGGCAATTTGATAAAAAAATGTGCTGTTGAAATGGCCAAAGCTTTCGGTGATTCTAAAATGGCGGAGAAATTTGAATCAGTGCCACTTTCACATCAAACCATACAAAGAAGGATTGTTGCTATGGGTGAGCAAGTAGAAAAATCTATGCTTAGCCTGGTTAAGAAAAGTTCATATTTCTCACTTTGTTTGGATGAAAGCACTGATCAAACCGATGTTAGTCAGCTGTTAATATTTGTGCGCACTACTTTTGATGATTTTACCAGTAAAGAGGAGTTATTTGATATTTGTCCTCTTTATGGAACAACAAAAGGAAAAGACATCTATGAGGCTGTGAAGAAAACAGTTGACAGAATTGGAGGCTTTGATAAATGTTCAGCCATAGCAACAGACGGGGCCCCATCAATGACAGGTAAAAAAATTGGATTAGTGGGTCTGCTTCGAGAGAATGGTGTCACTTGCCCAACAATTCATTGTATTATACATCAGGGAGCTTATGTGGAAATCAGTCAAGAATCAAGTTTTCCAAACCGTGATTAAGATTATAAATATGATTAGAGGTGGAAATCGATCTCTTTTACACAGGCAACTTAAGCAGTTTTTAGTGGAAACAGAGGCTGAGTATGGAGACTTGCTAATGTACAACCATGTAAGGTGGCTGAGTGCAGGAAAGTGCATGGAACGATTTTTTGCCATAAGAAAGGAAATCCCTGCATTCCTCAACAAATACGTTTCATCTGACACAACTGAACTGGAAGAGAAGTTTAAGGATCCAGAATTCTTAAGACAGTTAGCTTTTATAACAGATCTGACTAATCATCTTAACATGTTAAACTTGAGTCTTCAAGGAAGAAACCAGACGGTTTCAGATTTGATCGGAATGATAAACGGATTCCGGAATAAGCTGAACGTGTTTAAACGTGCTTTGGAAAAGAACAACCTGACACACTTCCCTAGCTGTCTGCAAATAGCAGAAGAATTCAACGGTGAGGAAAATATTGAGTTTTCATCCTGCATTTCACAAATTGAACAAGTTATTGATGAATTCAATACAAGATTTGAAGAAATTGAAAGTCTCAAAAGCAGTGTACTACTTTATAATAACCCTCTTGGAGCAACCATTGATGATCAACCACCCAACTTACAGCTTGAGTTATGTGATCTTCAAGCAGACATGTTCCTAATCACCAGACAAGAAAAGGGACCTGAATTTTTCAAATTACTGTCAAAGGAGAAATTCCCAAACCTGCGAGATTTTGGACTGAAAATGACGTCAATGTTCGGAAGCACATATACATGTGAAAGTGCCTTTTCCTCCATGAAATACATAAAAAATAAAAACAGAAGCAACCTTACCGATTCTTCCTTACGTCATCTTATGAGAGTGTCTACAACTGAACTGGAGGTGGACATTTCTTCATTGGTGGATGAAGCCGATCGACCACAGTCCTCACACTAATTGGATACATCTTTTTCGTTGCTTTTGCAATGTTTGTCTTGATTATTGAAAAGTGTTATCAATAAATTTTCCGTTTATAAAAAAATGTAGTTGTTGAGCAATAAAAGAAATAATACTCTTTTTTGTTTTAATTATTTTTATACCTCACTTTATTTTGTTATTGTAACAAAATTATTATATGGCCCGCGACAACATCAAAGGTTTTAGTTTTGGCCCTTGAGGCATTCCAAGTTGGACACCCTGGTCTATAGACTGAAGTATAAAAGGTAGAAAAATAAAAAATATTAAAAATAGTCAAGCAACCAACTTAATTTATATTGTACCTCTTGGCATGGATTGACCCAAACGCCTAGTATGATATGGTGTTTATTATAGTGAACTTAGTAAATTACAGTAATTTTTAACTTAAATAATGGTTATTTTGACATATTCTATTTACTTAGTTATATTTGTATGTATTCGTTTTAGGTGTGTATGGTGAGGAATCAGATGGATCGTAATAAATGTCAATGCTGTGAAGCTATGAAACCGGGAGCTCCAAAACCAACTGCCCAAGGAACTGGAAAATTGCCTACAACAAAGTACAACTTTGGTTTGGACAAAACAGCAACTGCGCAGTTTAAATTTGGAATTCAGCCAATAACTACAGGAGAATCTACTTTATCGAAAGTATCCACGCCTGTTAGTACAGAAACTAAATTAAACAGTAGTGCAACGCCTACTTTTTCATTTGGTGTTAAAACTAGTACAGAGAAAAAGCCTGAAGTGGAACCTCCACAACCTGGTGGTAGCAAAGCGGTTGCTGTTATTAGTGGAACTGTTTTACCAGAAAAATCATCAAGTACCATTTCTACTAAGTTTGAAGAGAAAACTTCTCTTCCAGCAGTTGTTGCTGCTAATGCTGCTAAGGAACCAAGTACAGCACCTACTGCCGCTGTAAATGATTTAAATTCTGCAAGTCCTAAGCCTGCATTTAGTTTTGCTGCGGATACATCCAAACCTACAGCCAAGTTTGAATTTTCTAAGCCGGCTGTACCCACACCAACCAATTCAGTCGAGCCTCCACCAAACAAAGTAGTGAAGTCTTCGCCTAATCCAGGATTTTCTTTTGGAAAATCAGTCAATTCCGCCGGTCAAACCACTACCACTGTATTTGGACAGAATACTCCAGCTGCTACTCCCGTGTTTGGTCAAGATACACAGACTAAATCGATATTTGGAGACAGGCCATCAGGCATAGTACTGTTTGGACAAAATAAATCGTCCAGTTCTACAAGTAAGTATTTTTAGATTAAAATATACAATTATTTTAAAAGTAAAAAATCTGGGTCAAAATTCCATTATTCTGTTTTGCTCATTTTCCTTTCAGTATTTTATTTTTAGGCACTTTTTGCACCTGCGTTGCCTTCTTGAACCAATTAATCTTCTATAGAAGTTTATTCAAAAATAGGGAAAGCCCTAATATATTATGTATGTGAGAATTCATAGATATATTTTTCTTTAGGTGGTAATAATGGCATCGATGCTAAACCTGCTCCATCTTTTGGAATTCCTACTAAACCAGCAGTGGACGTCCCATCTACCAATACAACAATCTCGAAACCATTCTCCTTCACAAAACCTAACGTGGAACCAGCCACCAATGCCCCGGTATTCAACTTTGGGCAGTCCGCAAGTCAAGCAGTCAGCGCAGCAACTACCCAATCGTCTGGCTTCAGCTTTGGCCAGGCTGCAAAATCGCCAGTTTTCAGTTTTACTGGAGCTAAAACAGACAGTGGATCCACTACAACAAATATGTTTAGTGCAGCTGGCAAAAACGGACCTTTCAATTTTGGTGGCAGTAACCAGAATGCTGATACCCAGAAGGCGGGATTTAATTTTGGAGCTTCGTCCACGACGCCGATGCCAGCATTTAATATGACACCGGCACAACCAGCAGCACAGGCAGCGGTAAGTAATATTTATTTCTGGCGTCTTCCAACTGATCTTTTGCCCTGGACTGTACAATCCAAAATTATTTATAATAATTCATATATTTTACTCTCTTTAATTCATCATCATCACTGGCTCGACAACCCTTTTTGGGTCTTGGCCTGTTCAAGGATTCTTCTCCATTCTGACCTGTTTCGTGCTTTTTTTCCAGTTTTTAATTTTTAATGTTGTTATATCATTTTCTATTTGTTCTACGTATCTCAGCTTCAATCTTCCTCTTGTTCTTTTTCCTACTGGCACTTGTTTGAATATTTTGTTTGGTATTTCGCCTTCTTCCATTCTTTCCCACATGTCCAATCCAACGTAGCCTTCCTATTTTAATAAATGTTATAATATCCGAATCCTGGTATATGTTGTATAGTTCAAAGTTATACCTTCTCCGCCAAATCCCGTTTTCTTTTGTGCCCTTATATATGTGTCGCAAGATTTTTCTTTCAAATGTGGCTAATAACGTTTCCTCCCTTTTAGAGAGTGTCCAAGTTTCTGAACCGTATGTGAGTACCGGTCTTATTAAGGTTTTGTATATTTGGCATTTTGTTTTTCTGGAGACGTTATCTGATCTTAGTTGCCTAATTAAGCTATGGTAACATTTATTGGCAATAAATATTCTCCTCTTCACTTCCTCTGCAACGTTATCAGACGTAACTAGGGATCCTAAGTATGTAAAGTTTTTTACTGCCTCAATGTTGTATTCTCCTATTGTTAAAATTTGGCAGCTGCCTTATTTGTGCGTTTTTATTTGCAGGCATATATTTTGTTTTTGTCTGATTGATTTTAAGACCACTATTTTTTGCAGCTCGTTCTATTTGAGTGAATGCCTCTATCATTTCTCTTCTTGATCTTGCGATTATGTCAACATCATCTGCAAATGCTAGTACTTGCACGCTTTTATTAATTATTGTTCCTCGGGTATTAACTGTTGTGTCTCTTATTATTTTTTCAAGTATGATGTTGAATAATATGCATGATAGAGCGTCTCCCTGGCGTAGTCCCTTCTTCACATCTATTGTTTCCGTTAATTCGTTTTGTATCCGAATTTTACTTTCTACTTTTAGTGTTTCTTTTATCAATTCTATTAGCTGTGTTGGTATATTAAATTCTTTCATTGCTTTTGTTAGGAATTCTCGGTTTATATTGTCATATGCGCTTTCGAAGTCTATGAAGAGATGATGTGTGTCGATGTTATATTCACTTGTTTTTTCAAGGATCTGTCGCAGAACAAATATCTGGCCTATTGTTGACTTCTGTCTACAGAAGCCACATTGGTATTTGCCAACTATTTTTTTAGCGTATGGTCTAAGTCTTTCATACATTACGTTGGACATTATTTTGTATGCCGCATTCAACAGCGTGATTCCACGGTAGTTTTCACATTCTAACTGGTTTCCTTTTTTATGTAGTGGTACAATAATGCCGCTATTCCACTCCTTTGGTAGCTGTTTATTCAATTTCAATATTCAATTCATATCTTTCTTATCAGCTCATGTATGGCTTTAAGTAATGCGTCTCCTCCTTCTTTCAGTAGCTCCGATGATATTTGATCCGATCCCGGTGATTTATTGTTCTTTAATTTGTCCACTGCCGTTCTAATCTCTGCTTTTGTTGGTGGACTCTTTTCTCTGTTGTCTGCTTGGTCTAACGGTATATCAGGGTTCATCTCCGTCCTATTCACCCCAAGCTTTTCCTTAAAATGTTCTGTCCATCTTCTAAGTATCTCTTGCTGTTCTGTCAATATATTACGCTCCTTATCTTTACACATCGTTGTTCTCGGTTTGAACTCTTTTCTGCTTTTGTTGAGTTTCTGGTAAAATTTTCTTGTCTCTGTTGGTTTACTTAGTTCTTGTAGTTCTTGAAGTTCTCTTTAATTATGCTGAGTAATTCTGTACTCGGAAACCTCGGAAACTTTTTTTGGATGGTGCCAGAATCTGTTATATGAGTGGGATATCTCCCACTTAGAAATGATAGGACAGTACCCATTTCTAAGAAGGTAAAAAGATTCTAACGAACATCGAAACTAACTGTACCCTTCTAGCTAGGAACGTGATGAAATTAAAATCTTCTGAATTACGTTCTCTTCAGAAAAATTACTATACGTGCCTTCGGCGATATTTACCAAATCTATCAAAAGAAACCCGGCCTTAAAGCCGGAAAGATTTAGTTCCTTTCATACTCAGGATTACAAAGAAAAGGATTAAAAACCTTTCGTACTCGGGAAATTCCGTGATATTTTGGTAGGTCCAATAAAATTTTCTAATCGTAAACACGACCATCGGCGTATCATCCACGGGGGTAAAGGTATTAGAAATAATTTAATATATTAACTATAAACAAATATGTTACAATTCTTTTTGTTTACTTATGTGCTGAAGTACCTCACCATTGGTAACATTTTGTATTCATGGAATTTTCAGCATCCGTCTGTATATTACTATGATCTGCTTTTTCTTACTTTTATATTAACTTTTGATTTATTTAATTACTTTAATTAATTATCTAAGTGTCGCAAATCATACATCAAAAAAATAATCTCAGGGTGCCATATTATAAAAATAATAAATCAGCTTAGGTTATACTTATATTTTCTCGTGGCTTCCAGTATCTCTTAGTTGTTCCTTCTCGGGATAAAATAGGAAAAGGAAATAAATAGAAATAACATAAATAAACAAATACAAATATCTTTTATTATCAAAAGAAATAATATGAAAATTTATCAAATAAATTCCATGGGCTTAACTGTCCCAATGAAAATTGTACCACATAAATAATTTTAATTTACCAAATATTTATCGATTTGTTTTTTATAACATTGATGAAACAACATAAACAAGAAATTTTTGTATTCGTAAATTAATTACACTTCCTATGAAAATTTTGAAATAATGGAATCTTTGTTCATATGTTTTGTACTCAAAAAATTAAAATTCTGAATATTATAAAAAGAAACTTTTAAATTTATTAAGCAATATTAATAAATATCCTTTGTCGTTAAAAAAACTCTATGATATTTGTGGTATTTTAAAATAGCGATAATTTTTGTTCTTCTGATAGTATAGAGTCTTTTATTTGAAACATACAAAAAAATTCTGTCACAAAAATTATTGACTGACCTTTTAATTCACACACGACGATGTCTCCTTTCGACCAGAACAGCTCCCCTTGTTGATTATGTTAGGCTACCAATCAAAGCCTTCTCCGTTCTAAGTATCAACCTATCAGCATAACAGCAACTCTTTCTCCAAAAACACGAGCAACCTCTTTTACCAGTACTCGTTCAACAAACTCCAAAATTCTCTCCTCTCTTTCATATACTAACAATCTCCTGAGACCCAAGTAATTTTTTTTACTTGGTGTCGCAAATATTTTAATATTATAGTTCTTGTGACTTACCCACTTGGACTTTATAGAATCCAGGAGGTATTCGACTTCTCAACTTTGACCTATCTCTCGTTCCACCTTTCAGCCACCCACTTCTAACTATTAACACCACTGGCACTTGCTTCTTAACTGACTACACAAAACTTCAACTGCTTCTTTCGGATGACCATCACATAATACTTTTCTACTCCAAACTTTCAAAACATTCACTCTCTTTCATCCCCATTCCAAACTCGCTAACCAATCAGAAAATTCCTATATCCCTCTTCTTATTTTACGCCAGAAAAACCAAGCATCGCTTCTAAACAGCTTTCTTTGAAAATGATAACGGTTTTATCTTATACTTTCTAAATATAATAACTACCTGGTGGCTTTGGCCTTTCCTGCGAAACAAAACCAAAGGCTTTTAAATTATAATATCTACAAATACCGGGAAACAATTATCTATTCACATTTAAGTATTTACCAATGTTTTTCAGTCCTTCAGGTAAAACTCATTATGGATAAACCCACTGCTTAAAGTCCAAGGTCAAGTTCAATAAATGTTGTTCTAGAGCAGTCACATAGTTGCTTGCTCTCATTGTAACATTCTTTAACAAGAAATACAACCCTGCCCTTCCTTTATTTCATGAGTTCAATGAGTTCAGACATCCTACAATTTTACGTCCCTGATTAATTCGATCTTTAATTTCGGTTTCTCCCAAGCCGTTCTTATCAATGAGTGCACCTAAATACTTAAATGTTTCCACTTGTTTGTGGAAGTGTTTCCACTTGGTGGTTCGTGGTATTTTTTGTCGTTGTTCTCTGTTCCTAATTCTTCATAAGCAATTTCTTTTATTATCGTTTTGAGGTTGTTGTATTTTGTTCTACATCCATGTTTCTTTCCATCTCATTTAGTTTCTTTTCTAATCTGAATTGAAAAAGATGTTTAATACTTGTCCAATCTGATACCTTTCAGAAAAATCTAATCTTTTTTTCATTGCTTTTGTAAACAAGAACTTCTTTGCAGCACATCGACTTGGTAATGCTAGATCTTTCTGAAGCCGGTGATGAATTGTTCTTTTTGAAACGTTCTGTAGGAGATCAGGATGTTTATGGAAGGGTTTACTATTACTTCACGCCTGATAATGGTGTCAGTCCCAGATGATGTTGTTTTAGGAGCTCCAGAACAGGTTTTCTTTCCCCGGAACAGTCCTTAGAGGCAACGACGCAGCCGACCGTTTCAATTGATAAACTGATTCTCTTGAAATACCAATATCACGTGCTACAGTAATTACAGAGCCTCCTTTCTTAAGTAACGTTAAAGCACGAACGTTTTCCTGTTATGAGAGTTTTTTTCGACTCATATTTTTCACTTTAATTTAGAATTTAAAGATCCCAAAGTTAACTGATAAATAAAAGCAGTTTAACACTGACTACTCACACAAAGCCAACTGTGTAAAGTACAAACACGCAGAATAAATTAAAAACCAAAGTGGTCAGTTAAGAAGCACAGACAGAAGCATACAATTTTTCTTTTAGTGATTTTAGTTCCAATTTAGTGATTTATTTGGCAATGTAAAGATTATTTTGATGGCACAGTACATTGGAAAACATTCAAAAAAACCAAATTGTGTTAGTGACTTTGTATACTTCAAACGATTGCGAGGAACATGATATAGGTCCAAATATAACTAAGGTTGAAATAATACATACAATAAATCGGGCAAAATCTAATAAAACTGCGGGGCCTGACACAATTCCAACTGAAATAATTAAACTTTGATAATATAAAAGGCAAATATCGAGCCCAGTATTAATTAAATCTTGCCCAAATACTTTCGATCCCTAGATCATTTTCAGGGGCATCTGAAATAAGCCAAGAAACGTTTTTTTTTTTAACTAAAGAAATTAATTAACTTCGATAAAATCACGGAAGTTTATGGTTGATAAATAAATAATTAAATTAATATCAGAAGATCAGATCAATGTATTAGTAGAGGCCTGGACCTTAAAGATAGAATTGAACCATTGGAAATGTGGACCTACCGAAGAACATTAAAAATAAGTTGGGTAGACCGAATAACAAATGTTGAGGTCCTCAGAAAGATGACAAATGAAGTGGAAATCATGAATACGATTAAGATAAGAAAGTTACAATATCTCGGCCACGTTATTAGAGGGGATAAATATGTGTTGCTACAAACCATAATGCAAGGAAAACGAAGTATTGGAAGAAGACGCATCTCCTGTCTCAACAATCTGAGAAAGTAGTATAATTGCAGTTCCGTGGACTTGTTCAGAGCTGCAAACTCAAAAGTGAAAATAGTTGTGATGATTACCAACCTCCTTAAAGGAGACGGTACCTAAAGAAGAAGATACTTTGTTCGTTGAGTCAATCAGATAATTGCTTACTATCTCTTAGAATTGTAATTATTTTGCAATAATTTATTCTTCAGCCATCTTTTAATGAAAGTGTAGAATGATTTGATCGCATCTTCAATTTATTGCATATGTAAACTTACAGTATGTTTCTCTTTTCAGCCTTCAGGAGGATTCAACTTTTTTGACGCAAATGCTAAACCAACGTTTAACTTCAGTGCAGGATCTACACCAGTATTTACGTAAGTTACTTTACAAGGTTTTTATTTATATGTGATTATTATATTAACTATAAAATAAAAATAAAATGGCCATCAGCAGTAGATTCTCAACCGATTTCCTTCACATGATTCATAAATCATATTTGAATATACGCAAAAAAATATTTCCGCACAGGTCTACATTCCTATATTATTACCGCAGTCAAAGGGATAACAGAGTTCATCACAAAAGTTGATCACTTTGTATATTGTTGTTTAATTGACTGTTTGATAAATTAATGATGAATGTCTGATGAATTGATATGTTGATTGCCGTTCTCAAGTCAAGTCGAATCAGCTGTAGTGATAAGAGTTTATAATAAATTTGGTGGAAGTTTGAAAACAAAGGTTTCAGTGTTTTATTGTTACATAAAATGAATTTCCATCAAGTAACGGTCGAATCCATCAATGTAATATTCTTTTACTTGTTCTATAGTTGTTTGTGCAATTGTAATTATTAATTCTTCTGGTTGGTTGGTCATAATTTTCGTTTTATTATAATTCATTTGTAGACCTATTTTTGTTGACAACTTGACGAATTTCTTCTGGTGTGGTGACAGGTTTATAAAGTGATTTAAGAGATTTAACGATTTCTTCAACAGATAATACCTTTGCGAATTTCAACAGGATTGGCACCTTTGCCCAAGTTATCAAAACCTTCCTTTGCAATCGACCTGGCCAAGACAGTAGCTGTTGTTGTTTCATCTCCAGCTTTTTCATTTGTGTTATTAGCTACATCCTGTACTAGTCTAGCTCCAATATTCTGGAATTTGTCTTTGAGCTCTACTCCTTTAGCTACTGTAACACCATCCTTGGTAATTTTTGGTGATCCCCATGATTGCTCAATAAATTACATTACGCCCCTTTGGACCCATCGTCACTGCTACTGCATCTGCAAGTACATCTACCCCCTGGAGCATCAGAGCTCTGACCTCTGATCCAAATCTTACATCTTTGGCATACCATCTTTGAATTTGAGTATTTATGTGGGCTTTGCGGAGTGCCACCGAGCGAACAGTGTTAGGTAGACGGTACATCTTTATATAATAACTTGCACTTAACACTCACGTTGGAATTTCTTTCAACGTGAGTTGATTCATCCATCATATTTTGTAATTATTCCCTTTTATCTGTTATTAATACAATGTCGTCTTCATATCTCAAGTGATTCAAGTATTGGCCATTTATGTTAATACCTCGTTTTCCCATTGTAATTTCCTTATAACGTCTTCCAAAGCTTGATTGAATAGTTTGGGTGATATAGTGTCACCCTGCCTGACTCCTCGCTGTATCTTAATAGGCTCGTTTGTTCAACTATTTTAATGGATGTTGTTGCTTGATCATATATATATAGGAAATTAAGTCCGTATATCTATAGTCTATTCTCCCATTTTATAAAGAGTTCTTTACTGCCCAATGTTCCACCTAGGACAGGTCTAGGACAGACTATAGAAAAGATTATCTCGCTAAAGGTCGGTTTCACCAACAACAAATAAATCACTGAATAGTTAATCGTCGAATAAAATTTATTAGTAGAGTAAATTTTATTCCGTTTCAATAACTATTTGTAATCCACAGTTAGTTATTCGTCGAATAAGTTCAAAGTGTAATGATTTTCCACAGACTGTACTCGTTGACACCTCTCTTGGCCTCCACCTCTTAGGTGCTTAGGCCAAGCGCATCGCACTACTTTTCACTGTAATCATATACATAACCTATAATATTTGATATTGGTTGATTAATTGATCAAAATAATAATAATTGTCAATGCCAATGGTCAATGTCAATACATATTTGAAACGATCCTGTTGCATAAAAACGAAGAGCAATTTAACAATTGATTTCGCAAATCTATGGGTCTATTTTTGTTGTTTACAGGATGCAATTGGTTACCGATCAAATTTAATAATTGATCCACTGAATTTTTTGATAATCTAAACCTAGTTTTAAAGTTCACATCACAAATTCAGCAAAAGAGTTTCTTCTTTGATGATGATGACAATAATCTAAAATAAATATATATGTATACAAAATTCAAATTGTGTGATATAATTACGTTTACCCGCAATACATTGTTGATAATTTCAAGTTAAACTAATGAATTTTCTTCTTCTTCTTCTTCCTTTATTGGGTAATATCCCAGCGGATAATTTGCCAAATCTAATTCAGGGGATGGGGGGTATTCTCAACTTGCTCTAGACAATCGAATATGCCCATATAACACTAAATTGAAATTATTTTATATTGAATGAACACTATGTTGAAACTTCTTCTTCTTGGTCCAAACAGTTAGTATAGGAAAGTCTATTCAACACAGGATAAAACTTATCTCGCTTGGGGGGTAGCAACCAGTCTTTTTCTACATAGTCTTTTTTGATGAGGTTCTCAGAGTTCCACAGCAAACTCTTCTGCAGCTATCTACTTAATTCAATAGCTACTTTACTGTGGACTGTCCAAGTTCCTCTTTTTTTTTTACCAACGGATGATAGAGAACCCAGGTGTAAAAAAGAGAATAATTTGTAAGTTTGTGTTATAGTAGATAAGATAGGAATATATAATTATAGATTGATTTTGGCTAGATTAAGAAAAGTAATCAACAAATTTAGTCTTTGAGGTTTAAGATTGGATAGGAGAGAGCATATCTTTATAGGAGTTTGTAGTTTTGTTTTAACCAATTCTTTGTAGAGGTCAAAATTTGGAAAAACGTTTATTGGACACTCTAGGATAATATGATTCAGAGATCCAATTTGACCACATTCACAGTACGGGTTGTCCTGAATACCTATGCGGAATAAATGAACGGGAGGGTTCTCATTCTAATTACTGTGGTGATATGACTTCTGTCTTTATAAGGAAATTGATTTAACCATGGTGATTTGTTCCATTTATTGACTATTTTTCTATAAAACGACTCTTTTGATCTGTTTGAATTCCATTTTTTGTGCCCATAGAGTCCAAATTAGCTTTTTAATATAAAATAAGTAGTTTGAATAATGCAATTTAACTTTGGCTAGCATTTTTAGTGATCTTCCTATGTTTGCCAATTTGTCTGCAACACAATTGCCCTTAATATCCGAATGCCCTGGAATCCAAGCCAGAATAATACTGATGTTCTGTTGATTGTCTTCTATAATGCCCATTTTGGTCATGATAGAGGTATGTTCAGTTTCCATTGAGTAAGATGTTTTCCCTATCTTTTGGATAGCACTCTTAGAATCAGACAAGATTAAGGCCCTCTTGATATCCTTCTCCAAGATAAATTGAACCGCATGATTAATTGCAATAATCTCTGCAGTGCAAACTTGAGTCTGCGTAGGGAGTTTACTAGAGTATGAGTATTCAAAGTCAAGACAAAAAACACCAAATCCTGCTGAGTCCTTACTATCAACTGACCCATCTGTAAAGATTATAGTGTGAAGTAGATTGTCAAGTGAGATTCTTTGAAATTGAATTAATGCATGTTCATCACTTTTATTAGATTGCACATTCCTAATAGGGATAGAAGTTAATTGATATTCTAATTTAAAATTGTGGCACAGAAATAAGTCGCTATATCAATGCATTTGATTGCATTGATATATGTAATTCATTCAAGGCAAAAATTATTGGATTGTTAATTAGCATCAGATTTTTTAGGAGGAATTTAGAATTAAGCCATTCCCATCTGTACTTGAGAGGAATTTGACCACTTTCACCTAACAATGCATAAATAGGGGTAGATCTCATACATCCTGTTATGATACGAATACTCTTATATTTTAATTTATCTAACCTGTTGATCAGCGCCTTGGGACAATCTGATAATATTTGACATCCATAATCTAAATGACTCTGTATCAAACCATTATGAACTATCTGTAGAGTTTTAGGATCACTACCCCAAATGAATTTTCTTTATTATTGATATTTAAAGTGAGGTTAGCTGTCATTTATTCGAAGAATAAATATTTATTTGGCTGATATTGGACTAATAACCTATTTGGAGTTTATTCATAGAATAAGTCTTATTTGACGTTGGTGAAACGCGGATATGTCAGTTTTATTGGTCGAATAACTTTATTCATTGAATAGACTGCTATTTGTCGTTGGTGAAACCGGCCCTAAATTAGCGTCGCCATGTATTTGTTCTTTTTGTTGCAGCCCTCTTCCATAAAAAATAAACACTTATGAAATGGCTTTATTGGTCTGTAATTATAACAACATTCTCTTTTTCAGAAGTGCACCAGGTGACGCTGCGCCCCCTAGAAAAATAAAGAAGGCAGTCCGCAGAACTACTCAGCGGTAGTCATTTGTTTTGTTACAGTGTAAATAAAAAAATATTATGGACGAATCTGATATATAATTTTGAACGCTTAAGTTTTGCGGTTGTTTGTTTGTAAGGTAAGGAATGAATGTTAGATTATTACGGACAGAAACTTGTTGGATCATTGTAACTTCTTATAATCTGTAAATTACTAATTAACACAAGATAATGTAATTAAATAAAATAACAATAAAATTTATCGTTTTTGTTTTCTTTTTATTACACCGCTAAATCTAGAATCTGCTTACGTTAAACCTATAGGTAAATTGTTTTAAGTGTAGATATAAAAAGCAAAAGTAGTCCCTTGATACAGTGATTGTAATTCTCCCTAGACAGAAAACGAAAAAAAACCATATACATATATATATATATATATATATATATATATATGTGTGTGTGTGTGTGTGTGTGTAAAGAATTAAATCTTTTAGCGAAAGCCGCTATCGCTTTATATATTAAATGGCCAACTATATGGCCTAGGAGACAAATTCGTTAAACTTCCCGTGCTCGAATTGGTATCACTAAAGTGTTATGATCATTTCGGCCTATCCCAGCCATCGTCAGACACTTGGGCTGATACAAATTCAAACTCGGAAAGTAAAACGAATGTCTCCCAAATCTTTACTACCGTGTAGTTAGCTTATAAAGGCGCCCCCTACTACTACTAAATATATAAAGCGATAGCGGCTTTCGCTAAAAGATTAAATTCTTTACACATTTCGCATAGCATAAAGGATACAGAAAACGATTATTCATATCGTTTCGTTCACGGCCTTCAAAGTAGGGGGCGCCTTTATAAGCTAACTACACGGTAGTAAAGATTTGGGAGACATTCGTTTTACTTTCCGAGTTTGAATTTGTATCAGCCCAAGTGTCTGACGATGGCTGGGATAGGCCGAAATGATCATAACACTTTAGTGATACCAATTCGAGCACGGGAAGTTTAACGAATTTGTCTCCTAGGCCATAGTTGGCCATTTAATATATATATATATATATATATATATATATATATATATATATATATATATATATATATATATACATATATATATTTATATATCGCAACAAGAAGTACGACCGTCTATCCAATATATAATAAGGATCACTCAGACGAATGGTGGGTTCTTATATCGGTCTCAAGGTGGAGAAATAAAAGACAAAGTTGATAGGCTACTTTATCTATTTTGAAGACGTTTCGCTTTCGTATTCTAAAAGCATCATCAGTTCATCTAAAAAGTACAATATGAGAACCACACAATCATGGAAACGATGTTATAAATGTTACCTTAAAAAGACATGTAGCAGTCAAAGATATTAACAAGTTTGTGAATAAAACTCAAGTAAATGGACATTATACGGTGATATTGTATAAACAATCAATTAACTAACAACATAGCAACTTATAAAAAATTAGCACAACAACTGACCATGTGGTCTAAAGTAAATGAAATATTTTATTTAATCTTAAGTAGTGAAAAAGAACCAAGAAAATCATAGATTTACTTCCAAATATTTGATAATTATTAAGCTTTGATTTTAACTTTAGGTAGCATTATTAAAGTGATGTTAATAAAAAATTATTTTAAAAAGTAGTATGTAAATGAAGTTACCGATCAAAGCATTACAGCTGCTGCTGGAAAAATGGCGTTAAATGAAACAGACCGAACTAAACCGTGAAAAGACAGCCAACCTTGAGGTTCAAAATTTTTTGACAGAGCAACAAGGTAGAGGTACCACCCCAAATAATTGGGCGGTCTATTTAAAAGTTTAAATGAGTTCGGATGACAACCCGCTTGTAAGAGACAAACCGATGAAAGAAATTGGTAGTGTAATAGCAATTCCTCGCGTTATCCAGTCTAGAACTAACAAACAGGAGAAATTCATTCAACCTCATACATAATTAATAACGTTAAACATTATGGCTGGATAATCCGCCACAGGTGATCAACGACAAGATAATTTCCACAGTCCAAGGTTCAAACGCTTGGAACTGTAATTTGTAAAGGATTCTATGAATCCATTACAATATTTGTATTATATTATTCAAGTAAAAAATTGTTCACACTAATCTAAGTATGGGAATTAGTGTAAGAATATGCAATGTAAGTTGCATATGCTACAGTGAGTTAAGTAAAAAAATTTGATTATTTTATTTTATTATTAATTTATTTCTAATTTATGTATATGTTAATTATTTAATAAAAAAATGTGTTCAAATAGTGCACCTTACATGACATTTATATAGTGAAAAGATCATAAAGCCTAGTTCTTAAAAAATTAAAGCATGATATATTTGGCCCAAGTTACTTATGTCAGTTTACTGACAAACTGTATAAACAAAATAACATACCGGTTAAAATTGCTGTCAACAATCTAAAACTGTTAGAAATTTGTTTTCAAAAACTAAAACACCCTTGTCCACTTTGGAACAAGTCAACACGATTTATCAAATTCCATGCGCTAATTGCGATTTATGTTACATTGGTCAGACTGGTAGGTCATTCAAAGGTCGTCTCACTACACATCGTAGTGACATTAATTTACCAAAACACACTTGTGCTCTGGAGCAACACGCTATAAATACTAAACATAAAGTGGATTTTAATGAAGTTAAGATTCTTGTTATTTTTTTTTTATTTTTTAATAAAATCATTATTTTGGAAGAAGTTATTTTTTGAACTGACTGGCGTAATAGACTTCGGAATGTTGAGGCTCGTTTATAGGGCTGTAGTACCAATGATGATGATGACTGATATATTATGTACTATTAAAAAACGGCTTTTAGGCAGTGCCGACAGTAGTGACTACTTCTTATAGCGCATTATTACTATTTTTTCTCGTTTCCATTGTCTTTAGAGTAAAAACACGAATAAAGATTAATCAATATTTATTTATCAACATTATGTACACTTTTATAAACAAATTTATAAAATCCTTTTTACATACGACCTTAAATTAACACATTAAACATAAAATAAATAAATGTAACACTAAGTCACTATAATTAAATATAATTCACTATACAAAGTCTATTATCTGTCCGTTTTTAAACGACTCTTTATCACGAAATCGTTTTTCCTTGAAGATGCGCCAAAATCAGCATTAAGGAGTTACGTTTTAAATATTCTTTGATTACGTTATTGCTGGTTACAAGTTTTGTAGAAAGCGCTCTGAGACTATTGTGTATGTACATTCGATATCTATATACAGTGCGATTTCTTAATTGAGAATATAGTACGTGGATTGCAAACATTTCCCGTCCTGTGGCTATACACATGTTCCACAAGGTCTATTCTCGCCGAGGACCTGAAAACAAAAAACGAGTGTCACTTTTTATCATAATATCACAATACGTTCCAAATGTAGAAGCTTTATGTGAAAACCCAAGTTTTAATTCAAAAGCAAAGTAAAACTGAAAACATTTGTTAGTTTCATACAATACGAAAAAGCAATCAGTAATAGCACTCAATCAAATTTTTTAATTGTAGACATAAAGGTGACACGTCACATTTTTTGAAAAAATGACTTTTTGCGGTTTTTTAACTTTCCTGGCATAGATCTAACCTCTAAGCCCCGGCTCATAGAGGCAAAGATTGGGGCTGAATTAAATATTCTTGCTAAAGTTAGATTAAGTAACTTAGACATCATGCCATTATTAAAAAATAAAATATGTTCGATGCATCAAAATAATTGGTTAAATTCTTTTCAATATAAAGGTAAGTGGTATAACAACATACAAAAATGTTTTCCTAATAAACCATGGTTTGACACAATCCCATATACAGTGTAGGAAAAAGTTTATGGTCGGTATTGTCACCTCGGGGTAAATGGAAGGGGTCTCAATCACCTTCTGTACCACCGTGTGCTCTGTAGAGGGCTTCGGAAACGTCGACGAAAGCCCCTCTACTTGAATCCATTTGCGGGGTATGGATTCGTAAATGTTTTCTTCTGGTATCTTGCCTTGAAAAAGGCAAGATATTTCTTACATGACAAAGGTAAAGTCGAAATAAAAATACCAGGTTGCAGTAGAATAACATCTCAGCCACAGAGTATGGGAAAAAGCTAAAAAGAAAGCAGACCCCCGAGAGCACTAAGCTCTCGGAGAGCCCGTGAAGGACTGAACTGATTGACCTGAAAATCGCCTATTTTTATACTTTCTGAAGTAGCGATTAGGGATTTCCAGGTCAGGGAGGGGCCAACGGAAAAAATAAGGGGCGGGGCGATGCGTCTCGAACGTGAACTAGTCGCGTCCGAGAACAGTATGGACCTTACGTGAGATGGAGTGAGAAACAGCTGTTTAGAAAGAGAGAGGTATATTAGGTCCGCCCTTTATATCGCTAAACATGCATGCGTGGAAATATTAAAAAAAGGGAAGTTCAACGTTGCCAAACTTATTGATTTTATTTGACCTGTTGTCTTTTTTGCATTTGAACAATGTTCTAAGATAATCAAATTTGGGCGAAATTGATTTAAATGGCAGCTTACTGTTTTTTTGTTGGGAATATGCCACAAGTTTACTTTACAATAAGTGTAACATAACATTTTGATTTCCACTTCGGAAATCGTTTTATATAAATAAAATTTATTAATGTTGCGTATTTTAAGTACGGTTTCCAAATTAAAAATCTAAACATCAAAATAAGCTTATTTTAAAGACACATTGTGCCTTATTCCCAATATGAAATAATAAACTGCATACAATAACGCCACATTAAAAAATATTCATACACAATAATTATTTGGCAACGTCCGTCTGGTGAAAAACACCGAGTAACGAGTAGTAGAGGTAGGTCGTGGTAGTTTTATCGTTAAGAGCGTAGGCAAAAAATTTCGGGCCAATATTTTTTAATTGCATTCATTTTTTTCGCATCCTGAGAAAACTAATAAATATTTTTGAAAAATTTAAACGCAGAATGAAACAATACATTATTACCGAGGGCCGAAAGTCCCTGAAAACTTCTATAATGTTTATTTTAATAAGTTATAGGGGTGAAAAAAAAATTAGTGTGATTATTAATTTCAAATATCTCATTCAAAAAACTTTTTGTTTATTCTAAGGGACTTTCGGCCCTCGGTAATAATGTAATCTTTTATTCTGCATTTAAATTTTTCAAAAATATTTGTTAGTTTTCTCAGGATTCCAAAAAAAATGAATGAATTTAAAAATTTAAATTTTTGTAAACAAGTAACTATGATTGTTTAAAAGTAGTTTCAAGTAAGAGAGTACCTACATAAACAAACATAATGGCTATTATCGTTTATGTGTATATTTATTGAAGTGAAAGAAACTAATGATATATTTATTATAACTTGAAAAATAAACTAAACAATACAAATAGTAAATTGTACTTACATTTACATTACACGTTATTATTAAATCGCGAATAGTCTAAATTGACATTAAAAAACATAAGTTTTTTTTACTTTACTTTTTATTAACCGTCTTCTTTTTTTATTTCAAATTAAACCAGATTTTGAACATGTGTTCACGTTTACAATACTTTATGAATATAGTGGTTAAGTTAGGATATACATTGCGATGGTTTTTCCACCGTTGTAATGGACTCTCGATACAGGTGTACGTGTAGATGAGCCATCTCCAATTAATTGATCAAAAATACACCATGGATTTAAGTCATCTTTATTGGTTTCTTTTTCTTGTACTGGTTGATTTTCAATAGTACAATCTTCTTGTTCGTTAATTATAGAAGTAACCAGCTTCTTAACTTTTTCTTTTATTTTTTTATCTTCATTTTTATCAGAAAAAACCCTGCACTTTAAATGGTGAATCCATAAATGTACATAATAACAATGTGTCACTCTGTTCTATCCCTTTAAATCTTTTTGCTAAACCCGATATTAGTAATTGTACTACGTCGGATACTATGGATGTAAGGTTACCGTTTGCTAAAATTTTATTGCAAGATTCTTGCAGGCAGCGTACCATAACAATCACTGAATACCCTTCAAGTATTTTTGGTCACTCATTGTACTTGTTATTTCTTTAAACGGCCGTAAAATTTGGGAAAGCTGAGAACAAATAATCCAGTGTTCTTTATTTAGATTTAGTCTAAATCTGTATATTAACCGATGTGGAACGGATTGCCTCTTCTAACTCGGTCATTCTTTATAACATGTAATGGGTGAAGTTCTACCTAGTTTCCACGTCTTGGATTGGCCGTTTGGGAACTTTGTTATGTTGTAATTAATACTTTAAAAACCTTTCTGAAGATAAGGTACTTTTTTTTAAATGTGTTTTTTGCAGAATTGTCGAAAAAAGGACTTTTTATTTTATCTATTATCAAATCAGTTTTGACATAACATTCCTGAAGTAATGAACCTGACAGTTTTTCTTGTTGGCGGTTTATATCCAGGAATCCACCCTGCAAACTTTTTAAAAGCTTGTTCTTCACCTATGAAAAACGGATGAAACGAGTCTTTGCATAAGTTTAGTAAATCTTGAAAATCAACCAGTATAAGAAAAAGAAACTGATAAAGATGACTTAAGCCATGGTGTATTTTTTATGAATTAATTGGACATGACTCATCTAAACATACACCTATATCGAGAGATATAAAAGAAACGACATGTATTTGTCTAATGATATATTACCCACAAAAAATTTCGAACGGAGATTGGAACTGTCCATTACCGTGGTGGAAAAACCATTGCCATGTATATCCTAACTTAACCACTATATTCATAAAATATTGTAGTACTGTAACAAAATCTTTTCCTTGTGAACACATGTTTAAAATCTGGTTTAATTCTAAATAAAAGAAGAACAGGGTTAAAAAGAAAAGTGGAAAAACTTGTTTTTAAATGTCAATTTAGACGATTCGCGATTTAATAATGTGTAATGTAAATGTAAGTACTATTTGTATTTTTTAATTTATTTTTCAAGTTATAATAAATATATCCTTCGTTAGGTTCTTTCACTTCAATACTTATACACATAAACGATAATAGCCAATATGTTTGTGTGCTCGCTAATTTGAATACTGGTAAACAATCGACTAGTTACAGTTTACGAAAAACGGTTTCGATAAAAATTTAAAAAACGAGAGGACCCACCTCTAGTTTTTTAGGTATATTAGGATCGGAACCAGAGAATATGTAAAATATCTCTGATCGGAACTATTCGTCTCACTAATGGGCAATGAGTGTTAAAAATATTTATGGAGGGGAGACCAAGGGGAAATATGATTGTTATCTTTGTCTATTCGCTGAAAATATGATTTTATATCTGCGTTAGATATCTTGTTAAATTTTACCATACCGACCATAAATTTTTACCTACACTGTATAGATAGGCGGCATATTACTGCCATTATTAGAACGAGGACTGGTCATTGCCTGACAGGAGTACATTTATACAATGTGACCCATTTAGATTGGAAACACCTCTATAAAATTTGAAGTTGAAAATATGAAATATTTAGTTAAATTTTTAGGGCATCCTACGATACTTTTTTTTCATCGAAAATGGAGAATTTTTGTATTAGCGATTTTTTTATTAAAAAAATTTCTACGCCACTGGATTTAGAGTGGCTTCAAATAGCTATGACAAAAATTTCATTAGGATATATTTATTTGTGTGCAAGGTTTCCAAGACATAATGTTTGTAAATGGATGAGGTATTCACTTTGAAAAGTTTGTGTCTACCTGTCAAATTTTTTGGAAAAAGATGAATAACTCAAAAAGTATGAAGTTTTGAGTATGAATGGTATCTCATACAAATCGTATCTAGAACTTTACGTAAAATCTAAAAATGCAATAATATACAGGGTGTTCCATTTAAAATACCACAGTTGTCGTTCATTTCCTTCCCGGTCAAAATATTTTCTTTAAGCTTGTCATAACTGGTAATCGCCATAAACCAATTTTCATCAATAGAGTTTCCGATATATAGATGATGTAAACTGTCGTGAAACACCCTGTATATTTTCCAAACTGTTAGTAACGAAAAGCAAAAAAGGACAACATACCGTGCACATTATCTAGAACAATTTAAGTAATTACCCGGCGGGTTGTCAGAGAGAAGAGGTTCAACTCCTTGGTACCAATCGTAATTGGAATTACTCTTGTTGCTCTTATTTAATTGTCTCTGAACCATGTTTCTGAGGTCTTCCAACAGCTCGTTTTTCTTTTCGTCTGACAAGCCACTGCCGCTTCCCGTGTAGTGATGTGTGTCTGACGATGTAGGAGCTTTTTGACCTTCGTTGATTCGTTGGAACTTTTCGGATATCACGTTTGAAGAGCTAAAACAAATAATTCGTTAATGCAAGACGACAAATTTTATTTTGTATTACTTCTAAATTATAATTTTATACTTGACGCTAGTTTCTTGTGTATTTTTATTTTTGTTGGAAATTAACAAAAATTTCAATTGAAAATATAACAAAATAAATTATTTTGTGGTGTTACTTGAACGATTTCTAAAGTGGAAATAGAAAAGTCAAAATAACCGTATTATAAACTAAAATTGTGGTAAATTCCCAACAAGAAGTAACAAATAAATATTTTTGTCAACAACTGTTTTAAAAAACTCATTTTTTGTTTTCTCAATTAAAATGATATAGAGTCCATCTGCTGGATGTTCACCCAAATATGACATTCACGAATTATTTTCACATTACGTCTCTCTCCTGCTCTTTCGAGCTACATCGCACAACTTTTTTGGACTAAAAAATCAATCATCAGTGTATTACCAGGTGTACATGAGTCATGCCACTACATATTTGGGTGAAAACCCTCAACAGGTTGAGTGCCACCATTGATACTGCTATAGAATCTGTCATTGCCCAACATTCTGAAGTCTCCGAACAGGAAATTTTAGAAGAACCAATAGTATCCAATGCAATGAATGAAGCTCTTGTCTGGGGGCCGGTCAACAGGAAGGAAGGCAAGTAGCATAGAGGAAAGCAACCAATACTTCATTGACACGTGATTGAAAAAATTCTATTGCCTCGACTCCCAATGAGGGTTGCTGCTGACCATACTGCTGCAGAGACAATGTCCCAGTATGGGCTCTAGATGGCAACTCTAGACCACAAGCAAGAGGTTTTGAACTTCCTTCCTTCTAGAGGTTCCTAGGTTTTGAACCTAGGAAAGCTAATACTTTGTATGGAGAAAATATTAATGATTTTCTTAGTAAAGAATCAGACGAAAAGTACCTTGCAACTAAAGTAAGATTGATTAAAGTTTTGTTTTTATATAATACATTTGAGTATTTTTTAGAGTTGCACTAATGATAGAAATCAAGTCAAACAAAGAAAACAAAGATCAAAGATCAGAAATGAAGCCAAAGCTTATAATATTTAAACGTAATTTAAAGGTTTTTTAAAACTTTTAAAGTTTAAGTATTTATACCATATTATGTTTTTTAGATTAGCAGTCAAAATTTTAACCTCTTTTATTCATTAAATTAAAGTAGGAATACATAACAGAACAAATAACAGAACAGATAATAAGCTATTTTGGACATGTGCTTCGAAGAAATGGTCTTGAAAAACTTACCATCCAGGGAAAAGTAGAAGGCAAAAGAAAGTAGAGGTAGATCTCCTACACGATACACGGACCATATTGTTGCTACCATTGGCGCTCCATTGTCAGAATGTGCTAGATTGGCAGAAGATAGAAAAACGTGGAGGAACATTGGAAAAATTACCTAACAGCTTCATGATATCACGATACCTGCATCAGGTTAACGACTAAGAAGGAATACTTACTTTCCGGTTTCACTGATGATAGTCTGACAACACCGAAAACGTTCTGATGAAAATTGTAATCCTTTTGGATATTTTCATTATTTTAGTAATTTTTAAAATATGTATACCAATTACACCAGAAGTGCTTAGTTTATTGTAAGTTTTTTTAATACCATTAAAAATTACTGAAAAACCGTAACGGTTTCGTAAGTAAAAGGCACATCACATATTCCTTACCTTGGGAATTTATTGTTTGAGGGCCTTCTGGGAAGATATATGGGACTTCGAATGTCTCGGTATTGTCCGCATCTTGGCGATTTCATGTCAGGGGCAGATCTACTAAAATCTGCACTTGATCTGGAACTCGAATATCGCTGCGAAGAATCTCTCCTACTTTTTTCACTCTTGTTCCACAGACTGCTTTGATCATCTAGTCTCCTATTAATTCCATATTTTGGATCATCTAAAAATGTATCTTTAATAATAGACAGAATAGGTATGAACAACAATACATTTAGAGAGAAAGGTAGGATAATTCTTTTGTTGTCATAACAAGAAGGAATATGTTGACAAAAAACTATCATTGATAAGAAAATAACAAACTATCGTCTCTCATTTTTTTTTATGTACTACTAAGAATGATCCAAAAACCCAGATCCCAAATCTCTCACGATTCTGAGCAACGCGTCCTCGTTCATTTTGTATACCTCGAACACTCTTAATCCTGTGGCATTTTAGAAAGAAATTGAACATGACTTTTATGGCCTGCAAAAGGAAATATGTGGCGATTCATAAGAGGTCAAAGGCTGCAAAATAGGACGGCTGCGTTGGATAGAACATGTAGATAGAATGGAAGAAGACGAAATACCAAACAAAATATTCAAACAGATGCCAGTAGGAAAAAGAACAAGAGGAAGATCCAAGCTGAGATACTTAGAACAATTAGAAAATGATATGACAACCTTAAAAATAAAAAAACTGGAGAAAAAAAGTATGAAACAGACCAGAATGGAGAAGAATCCTGGAACAGGGCAAGACCCAAAAAGGATTGTCGAGCCAGTGATGATGATGATGATAAGAGGTCAAAGAACGGAGGTAAAGGATTGCCTACCTAAAAAAGCTCTACGCAAAGGAAGAACAAACGACGCTAGAACCGGAAACCCCAGAAATTACCACAAATGAAGAACTTAATGTAAATTAAGTACAGGAAGTTCGGAAAATAAAAAACATGAAGAACAGAAAGCAGCAGGTAAAGACGGGATACCAAACGAGTTACTGAAATATTCTTTTTCTTGTAGTTCCTTCCTGTAGTAGGAAGAGCAGGAAAACGATGGAATGACAACTTACTGGAGGCACATTGAAAAACAGACAAGAGTCATGTCTATATAAAAGAAGAAGAAGAACAACAACAATTGAAGATGCTCACCACCAATGGAGAAAACCCAGAAACATTTGAATTCGTCGTCAGAAGAAGCATTAATGAAAAAAATCGATGAAACATCTAAAACACCGATGAGAATTTTGAAAATGTTTCCACAAATTCGACCAAACTTGTCGGTCAGTCCTCTATGCGTAGGGAATAAAGACCAAGATGAGAATCTGATACTTCTACACTTTCAACTTGTTGAGCTGAGTGTTCTCCTGTTCCTCTATGGAACGTACCCAAAGTATATCCTGATCTATCTATGTATTATAGTCTTGGCGGGATCTGTTTTGGATTGGGCATTTTCCATAGGAAGCTATTTTTTTGCTGGAATCCCTTCAGGATGTACACAATATCGATAATCACGATATGCGCCAGTCGCAAACGCTGTGCTAAATTTTTTATTTAACAAAATCTGAAAACAATTGAAAATTTCTCATTTTTTTGCTCCTATTTTCGTTTATAATTCGGAAAATATTGATCCTAGAGAAAAAATTATAAGAAGTTAAAAGTTTCGTGATTCAATTTTACACAACTATTACGTTAGAAATTGAAAATTTAATGTTTATTGTTGAAAAAATAGCAATAATTGGAAAAAAAGTACAAAAAAATGAAGTTAATCCTTTAAATGTTTTCGACTTTCTAAACTTGACTTACAAGCTCCATATTCCGCCTAGAAAAACTTTTTAATATGTTTAAAATGTGTGCTAAATTTTGTTAAGATCGGTCGGATAGGTTTTGCATAATAATTTTGCAATCCAGCCTACTGGAAAACAATCGCAAATTTTCAAATTTATAGTAGGCCCTAAATAAGGCCCTCAGATAGTTGCAAATATTTTTACATATAAAGGAAGGCTCAAACTTTCAAACGCTTTTTGTAAAATTCAAATCGGTTCACTAGGAGAGCATAGAATTTTTTTTAAAGTTTTAAACATTTTTTAGGCATATAAACAAATTGAATAACTTTACGAGCTTTAAACATATCAATTTCAAAATTTATACATTTAAAGAACATTAAAAGACGCTTCTTCTTAAAAAAAAAGATACATTCGGCCTACTGGTTGCCAAGATATTGAAGGTCAAAGTTGGCATACATTTGCCGTGTAACCATAAGTGATAGAGAGCTCGTTTTTAAACAACTACCCTCGTCTTGTCAAGTACTTTTTATATGAAAAGTTTTACGTAATGCGCTTCATGGCAAAATCCATAAAAAAGACAAATAAAAACGGTCTTCGCGTAAAATGTCGCTCGGAATGCATGGGAGGTGGTGGTGGAGGACATTCACTCGAAATGTGAATCGGCGAGTTCAAAATCAGAGCGCGCGCTAAAAATTGCATTATCTCGGCTTCTTGTTAACCAATATTGCTCTTTTTTTTAATCGATGTCTCAATCGACAATAATTTCAAATATCATATTTTCAAGTACCATTTTTAATTGAAACGAAATATTGTATAAAATTGAATAACGAAACTTTTAACTTCTTATAATTTTTTCTCTAGGATCAATATTTTAAGAATTATAAACGAAAATAGGAGAAAAAAAAATGAGAAATTTTCAATTGTTTTCAGATTTTGTTATAGTGTATTTTTATGTATGAGAGAGTAATAAAACAATAAATTATGTATGCAAATCCCTAAACTGTTGATACGGGTGACTCAATGAAAAACAGATATTTGTCAACAAGTTTACAGAAGTATATAGGAAAACAATTTTAAATTGAGTATGACCACCAGGTATAAAGGTTGGAGCAGAATAGAATACAATATTTGTGAGGGTTACTAATCCCTAAATAAGGTTGCCAGTGTCGGAGTGATGGAGGTTAACAGGTACTAATGAATTTGCAAGAAATGTAAGATGTTTATTTTATTGGTTATATATAACCAATAAAAGTTTAATAAGTACCTACCTATTTGCAAAATAAAGTTTAATTCTTTAGATAAAATAAAACGTTTTATTTTATCTGAAATGAGTGCATTCCACGAAGTAAGGGTTTCAACAATCAAACATTTAATTCTTTAATTCCAGGAATCTACGACAGTAATTGACTAGATAATTACCTTCTAAACTTATTCCACAGAAAATGTGATAGTGGGTTTTTCCATTTTGTAGGAAGGTCCAAGTGGCGTATTCAAAATTCTTAACAGTTCACTAAAAGTAGGTACGTCAGTTGCAAGGTGCAGTTTATTGTGTATACTAGTGTTATGGAAAATTTGGAAGTGCCGTGTAAACGCCGAAAAATTGGTCCTTTAACAGTTAATGAAAAAACATTAATATTTAATTGTTTTAAATCATTTACAGACAAACGTCTATGTGAAAGTGTTGATGAGACCGTTGAGTTAGTTAGCAGTACACTTGGTGTTGGGAAATCTACGATTTACAGAGTTATTAAAGAAGAGAAATGTGGTAGTTTTCAAATGCCACGTAATGCTCCAGGGAAACCAAAATTTCAAATAGAATATCATTTTAAAGAAGGACTTCGACGGAAAGTGCATGAATTCTTCTTTAGACAAGAATTTCCAACATTGGATAAAGTTATTGTCTCAGTTCGAGATGATAAGGAACCCAGAAATGAGTCGAAGTACGTTATGGAAAGTTTTAAAAGAAATAGGCTTCCGCTGGAAAAAGAATCCCAGAAAGTCTATTTTATTAGAAAGAAGCGATATTGTCATATGGAGAAGACATTTTCTAAGAACCATAAAGGAAATGAGAAACCAAAAAAGAAAAATATTTTATCTTGATGAAACATGGATCAACGAGGGTCATACACCAAATAAATTTTGGCAGGATGAAACTGTTATAAGTCAAAGGCACGCTTTTGTAAATAACTTATCTACTGGTTTAAACCCACCATCAGGAAAGGGACGCAGGCTGATAATAGTACACATTGGCAGTTCAGACGGTTTTGTTGAAGGTGGTTTATTAACTTTTGAATCAACTCGTACCGGTGACTACCATGAAGACATGAACGCTGATGTCTTTCAAGAATGGTTAAAACAAATGATAGATCTTCTTCCTAAGAACTGTGTAATAGTAATGGATAATGCAAGTTATCACTCCAGACTTATAGAAGGACTGCCCACAACCAAGTGGTTAAAAAAAAGACTTGCAGAATTGGCTGAGTTCAAAAAATATTACGTACCATCCCGGATCTATAAGAAAGGAACTTTATTCGTTGTGTGCCCTTCATAAAGAAAAATTTAAAAAATACGAAATTGATGAAATTGCCAAAAATCGTGGAATGACAGTACTTAGATCCCCACCATATCATTGTGAATTAAAACCGATTGAACTGGTATGGGCACAGATAAAGAGTGAAGTTTCAAGAAAAAATACCACTTTTAAAATTCATGATGTTAAACAGTTGTTTTTGGAGGCCTTAAATAATGTAAAACCTGAAAACTGGGAAAAGGCAGTAAATCACTATTAAAGAAGAGGAAAAAATGTGGAAGCTGTACAATATTACTGATAAAATGATCGAGCCAGTTATTATAAATCTTGGTTCTGAAAGTTCATCTTCTGAATCTGATTTGGATTTGTAACAATTAGCTGTAAGTTTTATATTAATATTTTTATTCATCTATTTAACATATCTTAGACGGTTTTAAAAACTCTTTTTCTCTTTTGTAATTTTTAAAAATTAAAAAAAATGTGAATTTTTTAAAACCCTTTTTAATGTAGGCCAGTCAGTTCTAATATAGTGTGTGATAAAAGAGGTTACTTTTGTTTACATACACATAACACTTTATAACACTGAAATAATTCATTTATTTTTTACAATTATTCAACGTAATTTTTCAATTAATCTTGAGCACGCCCATGGAGTGGTCGGAGGTACCAGTTAAAATTATGCTAATTACTCTCTCGTTCATAAAATAAACTATAAATAAAAAATTTAGCACAGGGTTTGCGACTTGCGCATATCGTGATTATCGATATTGGGCACATCCTGAAGGGATTCCAGCAAAAAAATATCTTCCTATGGAAAATGTCCATTATGTCTAAATTTCTACAGATCCCGCCTAGTCTAGTATGAAAACAAATATCCGGTACACAAGGTGTATATTAATAAAAATACTTACTTGGTTGGTTGCTAAAGAAAGGATTCACATTTCCTTCGACCACCAAATGATCAAAAGCATCTTCGCTGGTCTTGAAAGGTTTATGACTGCTAACGGGTAAACCGTTCGACGATCTTTTATAGCCATTACTCCTAATCTTATCTTTCGTACACTCTCGAGGTTCCCTTGATTTGTTCAAGATTTCATCGACGGTATAACCGGTGGATGAAGAACCTTGAGGAGTTGGTTTATTAGGACCTAAATTGTCAGTTGGGGTGTTTTGATAGGGGCTAGTATATGGTGGATATTGTCTACCTGAATTATCCAATCGGCTACTTTGAGATCTCTGGCTTTCTGAACTTTGATATGAAGCGTGTTGCCGATAAGAATTTTCTTGTCTAGTACTTTGAGATCTTTGGCTGTCAGAACTCTGATATGAAGGGTGTTGCCGATCAGAATTGCCTTGTCTACTGCTTTGAGGCCTCTGGCTTCCAGAACTACCAGAACTAGACGAATATTGTCTACTCGAACTGGTTGATTTTGAACCGTGACTGCTAAAACCACCAGAAGTGGAAACATACTGTCTACCTGTATTGTCTCGTTTATATATTTGAGAATTCTGGTTACTAACAGGAGTAGCACTTGTATATTGCCGATTAGAACTGTCTGATCCAGTGCTTTGAGAACCTTGATTTCCCGAATTGTTTAAGTTCCCAGAATGCGATCTGCTGATACTGTCTCTTGTATGTCTTTGAGAATTCTGAATATCAGAACCGCCAGCACCCATTTCGTATCGTCTACTTGAACTGTCGTGTATATATCTTTGAGAGTTTTGGCTAACAGAACTACCAGCACTCGTACTATATTGTCGGCTTGAACTGTCTGCTTCTACACTTTGTGGACTCGGCGTTGTAGTATATTGTCTACCTGAGCTATCGCGTCGTATCTTGACTTTTAAATCACTCGAACTATTTGGTCTTTCCTCGTCGACACGAGGAACTTTTTCAGGAATTTTGACGTAATCTGAGTCTTCATCTGGGCTCTTCCTCTTCGATTTTCGAGGCCTAAATTCGTGATGATATCGACTTGTACCAGCGATGCGTTCTACTGAAGTTTCTCTTTTCGTCGCTGCTCTCTTCCTTGATTTAACAGTGTCATATAAATTAGATCTAGCCTAAAAATTAAAATAGAAAGTTTGGTTACGAAATTTCTTTTACACATATATTGTTCTGAAGCTATTTTCTTGTGGCATTGTGAATGAATTACTATTAAACTGGGAATAAGCCACAATTAAAGATAAAAATACGTTTATTGACGTTTCAATTTCCACTTCGGAAATCGTTCTCAAAATACAAACAGTAAATTAAACAAATTTTGTTTTTTGTTACATAGTGAAAAATTCTTCTAATTATTTAATTTTATCTGACTCATTTATATTGACAATTCAGACATACATTATGCATTTTAAAGTAGACGACTTTAAAATGATATTGCCAATATTGTTGAGTTGCGCTCCTGGGACGACTTTACTTATAAGATAGTTCATTCGATTACATGAAATCAACTTTAACTTGAGAATATCCGTCAGAAAAAAATCATAGCATGTAATTCGTTTTTAAAAAGACAAACACATGACATGATGACAGTAAAATTCTCCTGTTAGTGATTCCATAGTAAATTATGAGGGAAAAACCAGGAAAAAAACCTCCTAATACTATCCCGACATTGTAAGTATTTGTTGGTGAATTTAGTTTACCTTCAACAAACATTAAAATTCTGATTTTATATGTTACGTTATTTAAAAAACATAAATGATGTATCCTCTATATGATACTGACTTACTAATACTGGTATTTTCTTATTAATAACTTCCTCTTTCAATATTGGTAACCAGATCCTACTACATTCTGCCGAGGAAATTTGCGACACAATTGGCTTCATTTAGCATAATTAGAGCCGCTTCTTTGATTTTTCTTTTTTTACCATCCGTTTCTTTTAGGACTACATTTGAATTATTCCATTGAACCCTATGTTCATTATCCCATGCGTGTTTACAGATTTGAGATGTATCAAATTCTCTATTTTTAATATAGGATTGATGTTCACTTATTCTAACATTTAATGGCCTTGATGATTCACCTAAATAAAACTGATCGCATTCACAAGGTATTTTATAAATGCAATTCTTTGTCCTATCTTGTTCATTGCTAGGTTTGGTTTTGGACAAAATAGATCTCAACGTGTTTGTTGTTTTGAATGTTGTTGAAATGTTAAATTTATTTCCTATCCTTTTAAGTTTTTCTGATAATCGTACATAAAAGGATTCACGAACAAATACTTACAATGTCGGGATAGTATTATGAGGTTTTTTTCCTGGTTTTTCCCTCATAATTTACTATGGAATCACTAACAGGAGAATTTTACTGTCATCATGTCATGTGTTTGTCTTTTTAAAGACGAATTACAGCTATGATTTTTTTCAGACGGATACTCTCAAGTTAAAGTTGATTTCATGTAATCGAATGAACTATCTTATAAGTAAAGTCGTCCCAGGAGCGCAACTCAACAATATTGGCAATATCATTTTAAAGTCGTCTACTTTAAAATGCATAATATATGTCTGAATTGTCAATATAAATGAGTCAGATAAAATTAAATAATACGAAGAATTTTTCACTATGTAACAAAAAACAAAATTTGTTTATTTTACTGTTTGTATTTTGAGAACGATTTCCGAAGTGGAAATTGAAACGTCAATAAACGTATTTTTATCTTTAATTGTGGCTTATTCCCAGTTTAATAGTAATTAATTCTTTTACACATGTTACAATCACAGACTACATTAAATTGGTTCAAATTATTCTTCACCCAGATCTTACTGTCGATCATTTTTGGTTAACCTTTATTTGGAATTGGGTTAGAGAGGGCGTGAGAGTGGAAGAGGGAGAAAGACATAGTGTGTGTGAGAGAGAGAGAGGTAGTAAGAGAGGGGAAAGAGAGGCGACAGATTGATGAGAGAGCGAGAGATAGAGACAGAGAGAGCCATTAACTAACTACTGCCACGTATCCACCCCTTAAATTAAATGTACTATAACTACATACTACCTTTCGAATAGTACAAAAAACGATACAATTATACAATAGTACCGTTAATAGTGCATGCATCGACTGTCAATAAGAGATCCAACCTCTGCATTATCTCTCTCTTATCTCTCTCTCTCTCTCTCTCTCTCATCTCTCTCTCTCTCTCTCTCTCTCCCTCTCTCCCCTCTCTCCTCTCTCTCTCTCTCTCTTCTCTCTCTCTCTCTCCTCTCTCTCTCTCCCTCTCTCCCTCTCCTCTCCCTCTCTCTCCTCTCTCTCTCCCTCTCTCTCTCCCTCTCTCTCTCTCTCTCTCTCTCCCTCTCTCTCTCCCTCTCTCTCTCTCCTCTCTCTCTCTCCCTCTCTCTGCCTCTCTCTCTCTGCCTCTCTCTCTCTGCCTCTCTCTCTCTCCCTCTCTCTCTCCCTCACTCTCCCCCCTCTCTCTCTCTCCCACACTCTCCCCTCTCTCTCTCCCTCACTCTCCCCCCTCTCTCTCTGTCCTCACTCTCCCCTCCTCATTCTCTCTCTCACTCCCCCCTCTCTCTCTCACTCTCCCCCTCTCTCTCCCCCCCCTCTCTCTCTCTCCCTATCTCTCTATCTATCTCTATCTATCTCTCTCTCTCTCACTATCTCTCTCTCTCTCCCTATCTCTCTATCTATCTCTATCTATCTCTCTCTCTCTCTATCTATCTCTCTCTATCTCTCTCTCTCTATCTCTCTCTCTCTATCTCTCTCTCTCTATCTCTCTCTTTCTCTCTAACTAACCGTTTTGGATTAGGGCTTGTTTTAAACAAGAGCTCAGCAGGTCTATTTGCATCATCGGAAAGGCGTATTGATCTGAAGACAAGGGTTTTAATGACAATGAGAGTTGGCATGCAAGTAACGATTGGTATGTGTGGGTTTTCGATAAACAGAGTAATGGAAACCTTGGGATTGGTTGTTCTTGATGAAAACATCGAGCAACGGTAGGGATGAATCAGTTTCCATCTTCATCGTGAACTGGATACTAGGATGTATACCATTCAGATGAGTTTGAAAAGACACTAAAGCGTCCCTGCCATGGGACCAAATGACGGATGTATCGTCAATATATCGTAGCCAACATGTGGGCTTGAGCAATGATCTGCTCAATGCTCAAGTCTGCTTAGCACCAACAACGAGGTGCTAAGAAGAATGGGTACTGAAAGAGAACTCCTAAATATTGTAAAAAACAGAAAAACGAGTTATCTAGGACACAATTACAGAGGAGAAAAATACAACTTCCTTCGACTTATAATGGAAGGGAAAGTGGAAGGGAGGAAAAGCAGGAAGAAGAGGTCCAGGAAGAAGAAAATCCTCCTGGTTGAAGAATGTAAGAGACTGGACATTATTATTTAAATCAGATTGAAATATATTTTATTTAGGTTTTTGGTGTGTCTTTTTTGTCATTTATTGCGTTGGTAATACATAATAGATAAATAATTTATTCAATACATAAACAATTTAAAACACTTACCTCAGAAATTTCATATTGAAGACAATCTTCCGGTGCCATTTGTGACAGCACAGGCTTAGGTATCGACTTGGATTGTAGCTGAGAAACATCGTTATTCACGAACACTTCAGACTTCTTTCCTGTAGATGATTTTACCGGAATACTAATGGAAGTCGTCCTGGGATTTTTTGGATATTCTTTAAATTGTTTGTCTTCCTTGTTTGACTCACTCGACGAGTGTTGTTTAAGGCTGTTGCTTGTAGGATCTTCAGCAACCTTTTTTCGTGATGATGAATCCGTGCGGTCCGGTCGAGAAGTTCTAGTCGATCTAGTTTCATCGTAACTGTGTTTAGTATCTGATCTAATTGATTGTTTAGCAATTTCAGCTTTATTATCTTCTGTATTAGGTGTTTTATTTGTTCCTGATTTACTGATGTTCGTTGTGCTGCGTTCCCGCTTGCTTTCTGTTTTAGAAACGTCAGTTTGATGATGTTCCTTTTTCTTTTCTGTCTTATTAGAATCACTTCTATTGTATTCTGATTTGTTGTCGTCAATTTGAGTAACTCCTTTTTTGTTATCTGATTTGCTATCTTTTTTATTCACTTCCTTTTTGGTGTCTACTTTATAAGCGTCCGTCTTGGATATTTCTTTCCTGGTCTCTGACTGGTCATTTCGATTAGTTTCTGTCTTAGAGGCGTCATTTGTACTTGCTTTCTTAGTAGTGTCTATCTTACTAGTATCACTGTCATTTACCTCCACCTTTCTTTCTGGTTTGGAAATTATTTTACTGTGTTCTTTTTTCTTATCTGCTTTACTGTCCGTTTTACTGTGTTCCTTTATATTCTCTTCAGTACACTCATCTTTTACGTTAGTACTATCAACTTTAATGTGTTCTTTCTTGGTAAGATCGGATTTACTAGAGTCAATTTTTTTTGTTGCAGTTTTGGCAGTTGCAATTTCCTCGGTTTTCGTGGCGGCTTCTACAGATGGAGTTTCTGTTGATTGTTCAGGTACAACATCGACTTTGGTATTTTTCACTTTTTCTAGAGTGTTCAAATTATCTGTTCTTATACCAGACTGCAGCAAATCTAAGAAAACATATTTTAGTAAATATAATTAGTTATTCACTTTATTCTTTAAAATAATGTTACGATAAATATGACTCATGCCCTAAGCTGTAAACGTATTTTTCTAACAAGTATTTTTTAGTAGGTAATATCCACGGGTCCACTCCGCTAAAACCTGTTTTCTTTTATGGCATTCGAGAAGGTTCGGGAAAGGTCACCGGCCGAATTCTAGGGAACTCCAGATAACGGATATTATACATATATATATATATATATATATATATATATATATATATATATATATATATATATATATATATATATATATAGAGAGAGAGAGAGAGAGAGAGAGAGAACTTTTTATTCTAAACAGTTAGTCTAAAAAGAATAATTGTATCGAGTTGAGTTTGAATTGTAACGTGGGAAAAAATGCAGCAAATAAATTATATAAATTAGAATACTTTTAAAAGATTAGAATGGGAAAAAAAAGGTATAAAAATTTGTGGACAACGCTTGAACCATCTAAGGTACGCTGATGACATCGTATTGATAACCAATAAAAAAGAAGAATTATTTGAAATGATGAAAGAACTGGACGTAGAAGCTGGAAAGATAGGCCTTAATATGAATTACAGCAAGACCAAAACTATAACAAATTCAGATGAAGACATCACAATGAGAATCGGACAAGATGAAATAGAAGAAGTTAAGGATTATATATATCTTGTCAAACTATAAAACTTAACAAAGAGAACCAAACAGCAGAGATCAAGAGACGAGTTAGACTGGCATGGGCGGCATTTGGCAAACTAAGCTACATTCTTAAAAACAAAAGATATCTACAGCATCTTAAGACCAAAGTATATAATCAATGCGTACTCCCTGTTCTTACTTATGGTTCCCAAACGTGGACATTTACAAAAGCAAACATGGACAAAATCATAAAAACCCAAAGAGCAATGGAAAGACAAATGTTGCACATAAGACTAATGGATAAGAAGAGAAACGAGTGGATAAGAGAGAAAACAAAAGTGAGGGATGTTAGACAAGAAGTTGCAAAATTGAAATGGAGATTTGCCGGACACAATATAAGACAAAAAGATGACCGATGGAACAAAATTCTTATAAGTTGGAGACCGTGGGAATATAAACGAAGCAGAGGAATGCCCCAAATGAGATGGGCAGATGATATCAAGAACCACGTGGGCTCTAGGTGGATGACTGTAGGTGTAGCGACAGACAGAGAAGAATGGAAAAGGATTGGGGAGGCCTATGTCCAAAGATGGACCGAAGAAGGCTAATTAGATAGATAGATAGAATACTGTCAAAACAGTGTGAACAGACAGAAGGAAAATGATGTACCAAAAGAATCCGACGACTTAAACCAAATATGGAAAGAATTTAAGACTGTATTTCTAAAAGCTAAAGACCACCTTAAATACACGAATCAAAAGAGGCAAGAAACCATGGATAACTAATAAAATATTAGAAATGATGAATGTGAGACTACAACACAAAAAAAAACGTAAGACGTTTATTTTAATACAAGTTTGCAAAGAAGTATGCATGGACGTATAAACACATCTTTGTTTATACGTCCATGGAAGTATGGCATCGATGTTGTGGATTTAAGGATTCCCCACACCGACGCAAAACTTTTGCGACGCGAAACCGTTGCGGAACATTCGCAGGCGGAGCACTATTAAATTCATTATATATAATATATAATGAAAACTTACCATTTTCTCCTAGAAATGACCCTATATTATCCCAGACTTTATCCTTTTTTCTTATATTTTTATAATCTTCGTCACTTAAATCATAAATTATAGGATATTGTTTCACAATTTCAATTAGTTTTTCTGTAACAGCCATTTTAATAATTCACGCGAAACTATAACTTGCTATAACTGCAGCGGAAAAAACCGTGCATGCAGCGTTTCATGAAACGTCAACGCTGTTCTGCCGCAAACCGTTCCGGTTTCCGTCCGAACTTGTCTGAACACATGCATTAAGTCGCCGTGCCTTACGATTCGCCGCGATTCCGCTGCGAAAGTTTCGCGTCGGTTTGGGGAATCCTTTACCCTGTACAGACAAGTCATTTTGAGACGATCTATAGTAGACTATTTAACCCTTTTCACCCTAATAAATATAATTTTTAGTAGCAAAATGAACAAAAATTACCAATAACGAAGTATCACAAAAATATCAATTACTTTTATTTTTATAAAGAACACAATACAAATCGTACTCACTTTTCAACTTGAAGTTCAGAATAACAGGCTCAGACGGAATACAAGATACTGGCGATTCTATAGGCGACTGTTCCACTGTTTTGGGAGATCCCTCCTGTGAACTTGGGCTTGTTTTTACAGACATTGGAGATGCAGATTGCCTAGTCCATGTTCTAGGGGAAATTCTGACAGATTGTCTACTTGGAATCTCCATGCTATTTTGTTTGGAGTCATTCTGGTTTACTTCCTTTGCTTTCTTAGAATTGAGTTTTTTGTAGAGAGCTAGTTGCTGTGCCACTCTTTTAGATTTATTGTCAGTTTTACTGGGTATGTCTTCTTTACTCTCAGGTTTGGGAATATCTGCGGTTTTCTCAGGAACTACATTGTCGACCTTTAGGAGTGTTGTGGGTGGGGTCGTTTTCTGATTTAATTCGTCAAAAGAAGTATACAAGTCAATATCTGTAGTTTCTGGCTTTTGGTAAAGAGCGGCAGCATTGGTATTCATTAGAGGTAGTTCATCGTCATCAGGACTAAGGCTTAAACTTGAACAGATATTTATGTTTACATCATCATCTAACGGTTCTACACGACATGTTTGAGAAGTGGCGATCTCATCGGACAGCGTAGTAGAATTGTTAAATGTATCTCCTCCTTGATTTAAGCTCTCCTGTGAAAATAAATCAAAATTCGACACAGGAAACGTTTGAATTTCGTTATCTACAGTTTCTTGTTGATTCCAAGCGTCTGCTATCGAGTGGTCAACGATGAACTCCATTATAACAGAAGAAGTTTCGTCGTCAAATTGCTCACTATTCTCTACGGTGACTTTAGGTTCAGGGTCCCAAGATGGGAAAGATTCAGTTCCTCGTCTGGTAGAATTTTCATCAGATAGATCCAAGTCCAATAATGGTGCTGTGGAGTCTAAGAATTCATTGTCATTTTCGCAGTTGAGAATGACGTTTCCGAATTCCTTAGCATTTGGAGACATATCCCCTCCTTCTTCGGCAATACTCATAACAGGATCACCTTTAAATGAAAAAGTATATTACTAAGGTTGTTATAAAATAAAAAATATATACGCAATGGACATTATTATTTAATATATATATATATATATATATATATATATATATATATTATATATATATATATATATATATATATATATGAAATAAGCCAAATATTGTGCCGTTACATCGTCAGGCGTTTGAGTTGATTCCGATTCAAACCGAAAAGTCCAAATCCACTTTCAGTAGTTCGCACACAGAAGTACCATCTTCTTTGGCGGTTTCTCTAGGCTATCGAAATGTGCAAACGATTGGAACTTTCTGCAAAAGCTTGCTAAATCAAGCAAGCTAGCAATCTTTTGCTGAAAATTACAATCGTTTGTACAGAGGAACAGAGAACTATTTTATTAAATAGTTCTCTGGATTTCCCAAGATTGAAGAAATAAAAGACCAAAACCTATAAGAAATCCAGGAACGTCCACAAAAAATGCTTTAGAGATGACAGCAATGCCATATTGTAAAGGACTTATAAGAAAAATTAAAGTTGGGAATAAATACATCAAAACAACCAATACACTGAGATATATTTTGACCTAAATCAAACCTAACAAGACACAAGAGGGATAAAAGAACTGCACCTGTAAAATATCCTGTGACCCCAGAATAAACGATCATGAAATAAACGGACATGAAAAAGAGAAACATCAAAGAATCAGTTTTAATCTGTTTAATGAAGAAAAATGTGTAGCAAACCCATCAGCAGAATGTACTCTGCCAGGCCGAGGGAGCTGCCTGTCAATTTGGTCAACCGCCAACACTGCAAAACAAACAATACTACCAAACGTACTGGCAGATACACAAGTATACAAGCTAACAAAAAGATAAAGAAGAATATACACAACAAATAGGTTTATTTGTTTATTTAAGTTTTTTTAAGCTTCTTGAAAACGATTTCCTGTCAATATGTTTGTTTACAAAAAAATATCTGTTTCATTTAATTTAAATTTAAACACAAAAAGCTTTTAGTAATTTTAAAGACTAAAGTAGATATTCTAAAATACTAGGACAATCAAAATTAGGTGAATACATACTAATCTACAGTGGAGTAACGAAGGAAAACAGGGCCAAAGAAGGTGTAGCCTTACCAATACACCCAAGGCACCAAAATCACATCAAAGAGTGTCAATACATATCAGAAAGAATTATAACAGCAAAGATAAAAATGGAGAAGGAAGACGTGAACATCATCGGAGTATACGGCCCAGAAAATAACAATCCTAAAACAATAAGGGAAGCGTTTTACGACCAATTACAACAATTAGTAGATCAAGTCAGAGGGAAGATGATAATGTTGAAGATTTTAACGCTCGAATAGGCAGTAGAATAATACCCGGAAAAGCATAATGAGGATGTCCACAACGAAAATGGAGAACTGATGATGATAAACTTCTAACGAACTAAGAATAAAACAACACATTTTTTGGCCACAAAGACCAACACAAATAGCAAATAACACCCGTGGACAAAGATCTATGATAGATTATGTTATAACCAACAGAGATATACATCCATCAAAAATAATCGACATAAGATGCCTCAACTCAGCAGATGTAGGTAGCGACCATAGTCTAGTATTATGTAAAATAAGAACATCCTCAAATACTTCCCACCGAAGAAAGCGGCGCCAACACAAACAAAAATAAAAGTCGAAGGACTAAATACGAAATCCAGGAAATACTTATACAGAAAGAGAATATCACTGGGAAGATCGCTGGGAATGAAATATTAGAAAACGATAACATCGAGGAAAGCCGGGAAAAACTCAAAAATAAAATAATTATCGCAGAGAGAGGAAAGTAACGAACACTAACATATCAAAAATAAATAAAATATCGTTTGACACTAGCCAGTGTATGTGAGACTGTGCAAAAATATATGTATCTGTAATAAAATCATTCAACAAAAAGGTACTCTACCAGGAGTCTGTAAAATTATCAATGACTCAGACGTATAATAATACAAAGTTTCCAAATTCCACTCGATATTAACATTCAGACGTGCCTGGTATAATCTTTTAAAATATGAACCAGATATGAACAATCAACCAATTAAGTTTTCATCGAACTTATGATAAGTCCACGTGGACTAACGGCCAATGAAAACATCGGATATCGCTGTTATGACAAATCATAATGCATTATCTTTTGTCGGTAGACTTATTCATACTTGGGGTAAGATTATATCAGTATTTGACTGAGCTTACGGAGTCATAAAATAAGGGATCAGGTTTCGACCGTCCAGTGCCGAAGGCACGGGACGGGGAAAACTTAGGTAGGCAAATTTTTATAATATTTTATTTTTAAATTGCGGATATGACCAACAGATTTTTAGAGACAAGAATATTTTTAGTAAAATCATAACTGCTACAGCGTTCAGTTTAAATTCAAATTTCAAATATTGAACCGCAAGTTAGTTTGGTAGTGGCTTTTTTCAGTGTTCTTTATACGGAAAACATTTTATATTTTACTTTTTTTGATACGTTTTTTACGTGATTATGTTTTTATACGTTTGATAATTTTAAAATATTGCGTCCGTGGTGAGATAATAATTATGTAGCTGAAGAGACAATGGAACCCTCTAATCGATTGGAAGATTTACAAAGGCGTGTAGTAAAACGTAAGCGACATTTTTAATACCTTTCTGATGATGCCAAACGTATGCTAAAAAATGTTTATCAAGGACTGTGTGCTGAATTGTCTAAATCAGAGGCAATTGCAGAAACATGTTTTTTAACCAGAGTGCCCAAAGCAACCTGCTACAAAATTATAGGAGAAACATCTTCTAGACAGAAGAGAAAGGATTGTGGCAAATTCAGAAAAATAGAACCGCACTTAATTGAATCTATAACTAGAACAATATACCAAATGTATGCGGCTAATATTTTTCCAACTATTGAAAGCCTTCGAAGTGAATTAGTTCGAAAGTGCATTCTCTCGTGTTCAGCAACAACACTTTGAAAATTTCTTAAAGCCAATAATTTTAAGTACAAAACTATAGACAAGAGACAGACATTAATGGAAAGTACTAGAATGATTTCTTTAAGAAATAATTATATCAGACAGATAACTGAGTATCGAAAAATGAAACGAAATATTGTTTATTTAGATGAGACCTGGTATGATACTCATGACACCGTGAAAAAAAAGTTGGACAAATAATAACAAAAAGTGTTTCAACTCAGTACCGCCCAATAAAAGAAAGAGGATTATAATTTTACACTGCGGTTGAGAAAATGGATGGGTCGACGATGCATTATTAATATCTGCAAAACAAATTAAAAACGCGTCTCTGGATTATCATGACGATATGGAAAGTTTAATTTTTAATCATGGTTTGAAAAATGTCTTCTTCCGAAATTACTTAAAGATAGTGTGATTATCATGGACAACGCATCATATCATTCAAGATTAATGAAAAAAACTTCAAATACTAATTGGAATAAATTAAAAATTCAGGAATTTTTATACACGGAAGATTTGTATTTTGAGACATCTTATATTAAAAAGCAATTGTTGGAGGTTGTTCATAATAAACAGTACAAAAGAAACAGTATGAGAAGAAACGTTGCTCCAAAATTTTTTGTCTACTGTTCTCCAGTTAATTCGAAGAGAAGTCACAAAAATTACAGCAACCAACTGGAAAAATGTAATAAAAATAAAACATGTGATCGGAGTGGAAAATGACTATGTTAAATATTTACCAGCATTAACCAAATTACCTATAAATTTAGATGATACGAGTGATACTAGTGATAACAGTGATTTTGAGTAGATAGTAAGAACTTATTAGGTGTTAGTTGAAACCTTTATTTCTATTTTAATTGTAGATATTCTCATTGTCACTGTCATTCTCGGCGAATAACTACTATTATTAACAATGTTTTATATAGATATTATTATTTTACAATAAGTTCTGTTCAGTCGAGTCGATTAGTGTTATCACTTCCAAGATATATTACAGAAGTTAAAAACACCTATATTTTTTATTTAAACTTTATAGAAAATGAAACTTTTTGGTAAATAAAATTAAATAAAAGTAAAAACTTTTATTTAATTTAAAATTAGATATCTACGCTACTGTTCTACTACTATGTACTACAATCATCGAGCAAAAAGACAAAAAGAGGGAATGTAAAGGTAGTGGGGGCAAAAATATTGTTAGACAGGAAGTACGATCTTTAGAGGCCACATTAAACAAGGAAAAAGAGTCTCACTCCTTGTCTGACATCAAATTTAGTTGGGTTATGTTATTGTTTGTCCCAAATGTCACATGAAATCTTATTTATATTGAAGTTTTTTAACAATTGTGTCGCATTTTAGACTATTACCGTTAATAATTAATTAAAACTTTCTCGTCTAAGACACATTCTGCAATATTATATAGCTACTGTGAATAAGTGTCGGAAAATTTAAATTTGGCGCATTCGCATTTCCGGATATGTCCGCCATCAGAGGCCACTTTTTTGGCCTCCTTTTCATAACGATTAGATTCCCTCTTTTGTCTTTTTGCTCGATGGCTACAATAAAGTAGTGGTAACTCTAACAGCGTTGCCATTTTACTAGTATTTTGCTTGCTTTGGTCTCTGTAAATTTTCTCACGAAATTACGTGACGACTAATAATGAATAATTATAGCTTCAGAACAATAGATAAGATCTAGATAAGAGAAGGAAGTTTTCCAAAAATGTCATGAGCCTTACAAGCGGCCACTTCAGTTTCGGAGTATGGTAAAGTAAGAGAGGGTGTTTTTAGTTGGTAGGCAGGATAATAAGCACCTGAATCTAATCTATGGCATTGCTATCTTTAGTACCTTACATTAAACTAAAACCCAAATTTTAGGGACTCAAAATGGAGATAGCATAAAAAAATTCAAAACCCTCTCTAGACAAGTTCTGGGTGCGCCACTGCCATCGCTTGGTATGTATTATTATTCACTGTCAGGAAAAAAAGTAAAATTGTAAAAAACATGCATTACATTCTCACAATACCCAAACAGTGTTGTATATTAACACCTATAAAATTTTCTTTTACATTAGATGAGATACAATAGTAAAAGCAGAAAAGTTAAATCATCAAGACTTTAGACTTATAAGTTAAAACACTTACGAAATAGCGATGACATATTTCATAGCATTGACATATTTATCACCTAACAACTTTAAAAAGGAATGATTACTAATATAAAGAAGTAATAAATTTGTTATCAACAACAATGTGAAACTTAGCACAATTTCAGGCGCATGAGTCAGACGTAGATTACACCTGGTTGGTCGGAAGAACTGCTGTGCTTGAAGTTGTATATATTATTGTTTGTTTAATAACAGATTATTTGAAGGTCATGCACTTAAAAGTCTAGTAATTAAATCGGTATTCAGAGTTCCCAGTCGAGATAAAATAAATTGTGTTTATGTGTTTATAAAAGTGAGTAAAATGTACTCCTGCATGTTTAGATTTAGGTGGATATTGAATATGAAATTGATTACACTGAAAACCAACACATTTAAATTGTAGTTCAAATCAACACATATTAAAAGAACTATTAAATAATTATACAATAAAGCCAAAATCAAAAAGTTACAAGCTTTTTTGGCTTCTTAAATAATTTCTTAATAAAAAATAATTATCCTTTGCAATAATAAAAAAAGAATTTTACAGAATAGCAAGCATCAACACAACATTAGTTCTCCGGTGGAGAGTAACTTCAATTCGATCATGATACTATGATTATAAGATTATGCGCATGTTTTTGTAACGTTATTGGAGATTTGCATGTTCGAAATATCAGTTTTTTGTATATATCAATAAATAATCTTTATTAAATAGTTTGGAGATATCCTTATGTGTACTATTATTGTAATTATTAAACCTTATTAAAACTTATTTTCGTCTAGTAATTTCATCACAGAATGCATACAAATCCCATTTAACTTTAACAAAATTTCAAATTCTACTCTCCAATGACGGCATGCGCGAACCCGACCGATTTTGAGCTACAGGAAGATCATATCTTATTATTCATAGTATCATGCATTCGATGAATATGGTAACATTGGTGTGACATCAAAGATTGTTAAATGTAGGTTGGTAGATAGTGTAGGTTGGCTATTATGTAATTATGAGGTGTCAATGTCATGTTTGTAAGGCATGATAATGCAAATAAAAATGTGACATGTTGATTGTTGATTCTATTAAAAAGAATTTACTAAATCATTTCGAAACTAAATAATTCAAACAGTTATGGGTAGTTGATAAATAGCTAGAATAAAAATCAAATAAAAGTGATTCAGTTCAAAGATGTTTGCCGGTCAACAATTTTCCGTTATCGCAGAAGAGAATTTTAACAGTGGGAGATTTCGAGTTGAGAGTTGAGACAGTATTAAATGGAAATAAAGTATTAACAGTGAACCAGTGATTGAAAGTTTAGACCCAACAGTGAGAAAATTTTACAGGTGATGGTGTCATGAGGAAATGGATGCAGATCATTATGAAAAATAGTTTTGATATTCTGTTAAAAATCCAACCAGGATCTGTTATTGTTATGGATAACGCTCCATATCACTGCCAGTGTGTAGAATAGTTACGAACCACTAAATGGAGAAAAGCCGAGATTGCGAATTGGCTTACTAAAAAAATATTAATTTCAATGAACCAATAATTGAAAATAGAATTACGAAACTTGTGTAATAAAGATTCTGTGTCAAAAAATCTGCTTAATATTGCCGTTAGAAACGGGACTTCACAATCGTGGATAAAATGTATTGAACATGTAGTGAAAAAGGAATGTGGAACCTGATATAACTTCATTGCCACCAAGGAACCAGTTCTTGTGGATCTAGTCGAAGATACTACTGATAAATCTGAAGATGACATAGTAACATGAATAACTTTAAATGACATATAATGTAAGTTTTTATTTGAAAATATTTTTTATACCTATTTTATGAAAATTAATATTCAGTAAGGTAAACCATTACTAGTACTGTTTTGTACCTAAGTAATGCAGTTTTGCCTGTGCTTAAAGTTACTAGACGACCCTTTTTCTAATCCCATGTTAATAAATCTCATTTGACAACTCATAAGTTTGTTAATTTAAATAGATAAAGAGTTTTTCCAAAATATATATATATATATATATATATATATATATATATATATATATATATATATATATATATAATTAAGAAGGATTAGTTTTCTTCATCTAAGGAATCTATAAAATTAGAAAATCATTTTTTTATGACAATCAATATATTCTAAAATCCTGATTTTTTTTTAATGATAACCGTCCACAGGATTATAATTGAAGAACTGTCTAAATAAATGAGAAGAAAGCAAGTATGTAGTAGCATTCCTTTAGAGCTTCTGCATAAAAAATACAAAATTCCATAAAGGTAAGATGGCGAATGGACATTGACCCTGAAGCCTATAATGCTCAAAACACACACACACACACACACACACACATGCAGAACTGTAAGCCTATGACTCATTGATTACCTTTACTCTAAGACCCACAAAGGTCTACATCAAAAATATGACTCACTCTCTACAATTTTGGTACTATAGTATAGGAGTACTATAACGAAATGAAGACATCTATTACCACAATTTCGCATAAATATCTAAAATGAAAAAGAGAAAAGAAGAGAATAAAGAAGAGCGAAGAAAATTAAAAGGTAGAAATGACAACGAATACAAAAAGTTACATGAGACTATACTAAAAGGAACAAAAGAAGCATGAAGCTGAAACACTACAACACAAACATGACGATTTAGTCTAGATGTTATGTCTTTAGTGTCCTTCTTTATGGAGTAGAAAGCTAGAGCCTTACAGAAGATGCCATAGAACGATTGGAGGCATTTGAAATGTGGTGATGCCAACGTATGTTGAGGGTCTCATATATACACCACACAAGTAACATAACTATTCTCCAGAGGCTAAGAAAAGACAAAGAAATTATTAATACCATAAAAAAATAGAAAATTGGCTTACTTCAGCCACATCATGCGTAATGATAAACACTGACTTCTACAGTTGATTCTACAAGACAAGATTGAGGGTAAGAGAGGACTTGGACGTAGATGTATATCCTGGCTAGCCAATCTTGGGAAATGGACTGGTCTAACATCAACTGATCTATTTAGAGCTGCTGTGAATAGAATAAGATGGGTCAATGTGGTCGTCAAAATTTATTAAATTAGCACGCCTTCGATGGATAGGACATGTAATTAGGCGAGATGAAGATGCAATGATCAGAAAAAATTTCGACTGAAGAGGACCAGTGGGAACACGATCCAGAGGAAGACGAAAACTTAGGTATCAAGATAACATAGAGGATGATCTAAAATCCATCAGAGTTAAAGCATGGAGAAGAGTTGCCAGAGACAGGGGCGAATGGAAGATTGTTCTGAAGAAGGCTTTGGTTAATAACGAGCTGGAATGCTACTGATGATATAAAGCTCTGTATAATTATGAGTTAGAAAGCAACATTTTCATTGGAATTTAGTTATAAATTTTTGATCTCTATAATATAAAAGTTAGTTTACTCTCTATAATATAAAACAACTTTAATTCTTCTACCGAGGAAGTGAAGCGAATTTTAAATTTAAAATGAAATTAAGAGGTGGTTCTTAAAAAAATCATATCTATGATGCAGTACAGTATAGTAACAGATATAACAGATTTTGTCACAAAAGTTGATCACCCTACTACGTTACATAAAAAACTCACCTGCGAAATAAGAATAATTATGGTCATTTTTTCCATCGGTTATAGCTCTCAATTGCGAATTTCCACTCTGCTGATTTCCCTGAGCAATATAATTTTCCAGAGCTGGGTTATTACTTGCAGTTAGCTCGTTACAATTTACACTGACATCTGCATTAGCTTGGTTAAATCGATTGACTAATTTGATCTCTTTCTTGGAAGTTATTCTTCTGTCAGCAGTTGGCATAATGTCTGGATAGGGATACATATTACTGTCAGTAATGGTGGTTGAAATAGTACGAGATATGGATATTTGCTGAGATCGGACATCCCTATACTTCGGAACTAAATTGAAATGATTAAAGAACGGATGGTTGAACTGATTGGGCAAACCGAACGGTGATGGTATCCAACTTTTTTCTACGACATAAGAAGTTGTTTCTGTTACAGACATCTTTGTACAAAAATCAGCAAAATCAGCTGGAAACACTTCAGGATCTAGATCTCTGTAAGACATTGCTTGTTCTGCAGATGGCATTAGTGCTTGGTTTTGGTTTTCTTGTGGATTATCAGAAGCTAAAACTAAAGATTGTGACATATCTTCCAGGGAACTATAGTCATGAGGTGCCAATTCTGTTGAAACAACCTCTTCATTACAAGAAACATCTGGAATGTCCCAAGAGCTGCTCTGCTGGTTACTTAACGACGCTACAGGCTTCTTATTTCTCCTCGAAGCATAAATACCAGTACTAGTTGAAGGTTCTGAATCATAATTGGGATAACCAGCAGCAAAAGATTGTGATAGTGACTGGAATTTCTCCGGTAAAACTTTTCTTTTTTGCAGAACTTTTACTGGGCTTTGAGGATATTTGAATTCGTTTATAATTTTTTCAACAGAAACTGGAATCAATGGGGACTGGTTGTCTTGATTGTAAGCAACAACATCACCATTTTTATTTGCTGTAGTTTCCGATCCATTGATGGCGTCTAGGTTTTCTGCTGAAGCCAATATTTCTAAAAGTAAAGAAATATTTTCGGATAGATTACCTAAAATATTTTCAAGTTCATTAGTAGGTCATATTGTTAATTAACTAACTGAATCAAGGTCCGAACTTCACCAAATATTAAAGCAGATATTTAATTTACTTGAAATGGAGAACTACAGAACACATTTTTAAAATATGTATTGATACAAGAATGAAAAATGGAATTTATGGGAAAATGTGTAAACCCTATACTATATTTGATACAGGGAGAGATTAGAAACACTAGGTAGAGATTATTTTTAGTGATTTAACTGATTTGGTACTACTAGCTCTTTCACTGCTCTAAACATTTTTCTTCTGTTTTTACATAGTTGTAGGATGCCTTGTAGCCTATAAATATGTGATGGGTATCTATGCCATATTCCAGTGTTTTTACTAAAATTTGTCTCATGTTTGCAATCTGACTAAACTTACATCGTTTAGTAGTAAATATGTCCCCAGCTTTTACCCATTTTGGCATATTCTATGAGCTTTGGCTTTCCTGATTTTGTTTCGGATGGTTCTCCGGGTTTCTTTATATTTTTCTTCATTGCGAATTTTGTAAGATCTCCTTATATCCATCAGTTCTAGGACTTCTTCTGCCATCCATGTTTTTCTGATGTTGTCTTGTAGTTGTTCTCTTTGTATAGTTGTTATTGTTGTTTTGAAGGTGTGCCAAATACTTTCCATCTTAACAGGATTGTGGTCGAAACCGATGTCCGCCCGGGAGATGTTTCAACTCCCCTGATTCCATTTCTATAACGTTTGTCAATTAATATATAATCAATCTGGTTTCTTATTATGCGGTTTTGATTATCGCCAGGTGGTGTCAATACAAAATAGTACAATAGTACAAAACAACACAAACTTAGTGGGAACTGTCCAAAAACACCCTCAAATAAAAGGCAGAGAAAAGTAAGGTTACGTTTTCAATGCTTGATCAGTTGTAAATGTGTGAACAGTGTTGCCAACTGTGAATATTGAAAAATGTCATAACGATTCCATTAATTTGCACAATACTGTATTTTATACGCTGCATTTTAGAAGCTTAATTCCTCTGAAGTTAGAGCATTTAAAGATAACCCATTTTTTTGTAGGTTCCAATCACTGGGGAGTGATTTATGTATCCATATTTCTTTTATGAGCTGCTGTAGTGCTGTAGTAGTATGATTTATTACTCTCACTCAATATAAAATAAAGTTTACATGTATCTAAATTAAGTCTTCACATCAACAATAACCATAAATTAATGGGATTTAGTCATCATGTTATTATTAGTACAGAACAAATTGAGGTGTAACAAACAACAAGCCAAGCAACTTAACGTTGTTAAAAACATGCAGAATGGATTCTCAGTTTAAAATAATCAGCTGGAATATAGCAATAGGCTGTACAATTCACAAATAGCTTACACAATCTTAGAAAGCTAAAAAAATCCAAAGATAAGTTTGACAAAGTGGTTTCACAAAAAGCACATTTGGACTGATGTCCTCGAAATGTCTCAAAAGACCTACATCTTGCTGCTCAATCTTAAAATGAAGTCAAGTAGTATTGTGGTAAAATAAAAAGATAACAAGTCTCGAAATACATTACGGGAAAGTACTGCTTCAGTAATTAGATCAAAATTCAGAATAAAAATAAAAAAACAACATAAATTACCTGTATTTTGTATGTTTTCCTCTAGCCCATCGCCTCGGTAGCCTTTACCATGAAGTATTAATGAATCTTTCTTGATTTCAGGTGGCGTTATTTGGTCCTGAACCTTAGAAATATTTTCTTGGTTTACTGCCTGAACCGATAACTTTTCGTTATCTTGAAACCCGGAAACACTTACTGGTTCTTGTTGCTGTGCTGAATTGCCGAAGAACGGAACGGTGGCGAGGAATTTTTCTATATCTGGTGTTTCAAGGGACTCACTAGAAAACTGCGCATTATCTACTTTCGGTATTGAAATATTTAACATTGGATTTTGTGTAACAACAGCTTCTACATGAGGTGTATTCTGAATTTTCGTTTTGTTCGAAATTATTTTATCTTCTGTCATTAGTGAAGTGTGTACATCTATTTTAGTCTGTGGTTTACTGGAATCTATATTTGTAACTGGTAGATCGATGTTACTTATGCCATTATCAATGTTTGTATCTAGGTTAAATGAAGATTCAATAGTTTTACTAGAAGTGAAATCTGTATCTAAAGCAAAACGTGCTGTTTGTTCTAAGGTGTCGTGATCATCGCTATTGACCTCTAAATTATTAGGAACGTTGGTTATAGTATTTATTAAGTCTTGATTTGCATTACTTGTATTTTCTTTATTCTCTTGCATAGCTTCTGGTAAACTTTCTGGGAATATTGGAGTAGAACGAGTTACCAATTCATCATTATCCACAATAGTTGGTGGATATTCCAGATGTGTTGTATTTTCAAATGTCTTACCAGTGTCACCTTCCAAAGTTTGGACAACAGCAGCTATTTGAGAGTCTTCTGCAATAGAAGAGTTTGTAGAAGTTAAGCCTGTGGACCGAGTTGTTATTTCATCCAAACTTGAACATTTTTCGCTATTAACTTTGACCTTAACACTCAAGTCTTCATCTGATGGCGATGAAGATGAAATATGAGCATCATTTACTACCAATCCACTATTATTTTCAATATCTACTACTTCTTGTCCTGTATAATCAGTTGAGACCTTTTCTTCTATTGGTTTCAAATCAACATTTGAAAAATATTCTTTGCTATTATTTTTGTATAACTCAGTACTTGTACATTGATTCATAGGTTCACATGAAGATGAGATATTTGTTTCACTAATGTTCAATGTTTTTGAAGTCAGTTCTTTGTTGGTGACATCAGATATAGCTTCTACAGGCTCAGACTGTTGATTTAAATTCTCTGTAGATAGCTCGATTTCTTCAACATTTGATGACATCAATCCTACATCTGGATTTTCATTATCAATCAAAGGAAGTGTTTCTAATTGAATTTTTTCTTCTTCGTGATCTTTAGTACCATCAGTAATCAGTCGTTCTTCAGTATTTTCCTGTTGTTGATCAAAAGTGGCCAGATCTGTAGTCTCAATTTTTAAGTTACTTTCAGCTGCCGATTTTCTTTCATATTTATCTTCTAACAGCTCAGTATTAGAGGCAATAATCTCAGTTAGGTTAATTTTTGACTTAATCTTCAAAATTTTTTGTGGTGTACTCTTTCTTCTCTCTTTTCGAGATATAGGTTTCAGAACTCGTATATTTAGTGTCACTTCTTTGGTGTCTTTAGTTTTGTTATCTAAAACACTACCGGATTTCTTTACTGATTTTGATTTGTCAACACTTTCGGACATCACTGGAATTCTCTTTATGCTTTTATCCAGTTTTAGATGTTTATTGTCTGATGCTGTTGTGCTTGTAATCAGTCCATCAGAAACTTTGTTTTTTCTTGAAGAAGACTTTCTTGATTTCAATTTTTCATTAAGTTTCAAATATTGCTGATCTGGAACGACACTTTGTGTTTTTTCTGAACTAATAAAGCCGCCTTTTAATGAACATGCAGGTTCAACAGATGGAGATGATTTAGATTCCTCTCCTAGTGATATAGAATGTTCTTGGATTGCTATTGAATCTTTTACATAATCGAAAGGTTCCATTACTTTTTCAGATGACTTTACACTGTCGTCAATTTTGTATACATTTGCCATTGGCTCAACTGGTACATCAGATCGTACTTTATCTTCTTGTATCTTATTGGAAATTTTTGATATTTCATCAGATTTATCTGTGTAACCATTACACTATCAATGATTTCGCTTTCGGTTGAAATTTGGTCATCTGGTACATCGGTAGATAGTACATTCACTTCTTTTACTTCATTGGAAATTTTTGAAGAAGATATTTCGTCTGACTTATCTTCGGTAGCCAATATACTAACATTAATTTGATTTTCTGTCAACTTTTCGTTATCTGGCACATCAGTTAGTCTTATGTTTACTTCTTGTATTTCATTGAAAATTTTCGAAGAAGATATTTCTGGTACTTCGACCGAATTATCTTTGGTAACCATTATACTATCATTGATCTGACTTTCGGCTGACATTTGGTCGTATGGTACATCAGCAGCTTTTACCTTCATTTCTTGTATCTCATTAGAAGTTTTTGAAGAAGATATTTCGTCAGATTTGTCCTCTGTTACCATTACACAATCACTAATTGACAGTTGGTCATCTGGGACTTCAGTAGATTTTATTACATCTTGCTGAATCTTATTGTATGTTTCTGAAGACGATATTTCTGATGTCCCTTCAGAAATATACTCTGTGGTCTTAATACCAGTATTGGTTTGACCTTCAAGCGAATTTTCTTCAATTGATTCATTAATAGGTTTATTTTGATTGTCTTGGATATCATTGCATGTTTCCGAAGACGAAATTTCTGGTATCTCAGATGTATTTTCTATTATTTGGTTTTCTAATGGCACTTGTTCAACAATAGGATCTGCTTGGACCTCATTATATAATTCTGAAGAAGATACTTCTGACACTATATCAGGTTTATTCACTGTAGGCACATCAGTATTTTGTGTTTCTGACGAAGTTACTTCTGATATTGTGTCATAGTCACTCTGTGTTAACTTGATATCATTATTAATTTGATTTTCTAACGAAGATTGTTCAACTACTACGTGTTTAGGTTCAGCATGTATTTGGATCGCATTGTGTGTTATCAAAGAAGATATTTCTGATAAGTTGAGTCGATCTTTTACAGGTTTTACAGTAATTTGGCTTTGACATGGCGCTTGATTAATAGATACATCAGATTTACAATTTTTTCTCTCATCAACAGAAATGGACGAAGAAATATGTTTGTGTCCTGTCACTGTAGATTCTTCCACACCTGCTATTTCTTGTTTAGACTCTTCTACTTGAGTAATCTCCGTCTCGTTCCCCAAATCTAAACCTGTGGTATGTGTTTTGGCAATAGTTTCTTTCGCCCCTTCTTTTGATTTTACAGAAACTTCTTGAAGTTTTGTTGTAGTTTTATTATTTTCATTATTATCTCTGTATAGAATTACTCGCAGTTCTTTGTCGATGAAAGTTATTTGATCCTTTGTCTTCGTCTTATCTATGACATCTTTGATTGGCACGTATTTATTCTTCCTGGTTTCTCTGATGTTTTGTGAAACTTCTAATACATTTACAGCACTTTCAATTTCACTTGAACATACACTCGGTGCTGGTAAATTTTGATCTTCTGCATTGATAAATTTCGATTGTGTTGCTATAGTATCTGAAAGAGACGAATGTTCTTTGTGGTATTTTGTTTTCACCGTCTTTGATCGTGTGTTTATCGTTACTGGTTCTTCTGTTACATTTGAAGCTGAAGGAGTGCTGTCTTTAGGGTTTCCTGATAGGAAATTTGCGGCTTTAGTTGTAATGGTCTCTTTGAGAGTTGTATTAAACACATCCTGAGTATCGTCAGATAATGTAGTTAATTCTAATTTTTCTTTAACAGAACAGTCTGTTGGTGACTTTTGTTCTGTTGCAATGTGTTTAGTTTCTGGTAGATCTTTTGGAACTTCCGTGTTCAGTACTGACTCATTCTGTTTATTGTTGGTCAAGCTTTCATTGGATATTGTTTTAGAACGCAGTATTCTTCTAGGTAACTGTTCGGCGATTTCTGACGAAGAGGTAATCACATCGTGGCTATTTTTATGTGGTTTTGGCACACTTTGTTCGAGTTTGATGGGGTGTTCAGTTTCAGGTGTAACTAATGACTTCGATCTTAGTCGTCTTTCATTAGAATCTGCTATCTTTAAGGTGGAGTCAGATAATTTTTGAGGCTGCTTCAACATTTTTTCTGACTCTGTAATACATGTAGATTTTGATCTTAATTTCCTAATGTTTGGTTGTTTTTCTGGTTTCTTAGTTAATTGGGAAAGTTCATTGCATTCTTCCGAAATAATTTTTTGGTTGTCATCTTTAGAAGCAGACCTTGATCGTCGCTTGGATGTATATTCAGCTGGTAGCATGCTATCTTGCAGCAATTTGGGCTTATCCAATTCAAGTTTTTTGTCAATTTCAGACGTAGATGCTGATTTGGATCTTAATGATTTTTCATTTGAAGACTTTTTCGATCTACTTATGTCGTACTCTGTACAAGATTTTGACCTGTCATTTCGTACTCTTCGTTCATTAACAGACAGTTGTATCTTGGGTTTTTGAATTTGTACAGCCGATTTACTATCTGATTTGTGTCTATCAGTTTTTAATTTATTTTCCACAACAGCTGTTACGGTCATTTGGTGTTGTCCAATCGAGGTATCTTCGACATACTTCCTAATTAGATCATCTACTTCTTTTTCGTCATACATAACTGATATTCTTCTCGGTTTTCTTTCTTGTGTTTCAACTTCTTTTTTACCGAGAATATTGTCCTTATTTGTCGATTTCAGTTTCTTTTTATTAGAACCCACATCATACGATACATTTTCCATTTCATTCTTTAGAGAATCTGTCGCTTTTTCTTTATCTAAATTTGCGGTTTGATCTTTTTCATTATTCCGATTCTTTAATACTTGGTTTTTCTTTTCGCTTCTTTTTCCTTGCTCTATATCTAAACTAACATCTTTCCTTCTGATCTCCTCAATTTGACTTGAGAACGTCACTTGTTTGTCTTTTGTTTTTACCACTACATCATCCAGTGACTTACGTCTTTTACTTCTTTCCGAATGTGATGATTTGGTAATTTTTGTATCCTGACTTTCACTATCTTTTGGTTTCAGAATGCTATATTTGGTTTTACTTGAAACTTGTTTGGATATGTCACTAAAAACACTTTCAAGGTTAATAGCAGCAGTTGTCTTCTTATTTTTATTAATATCTTGTCTGTCTTTCATTATTTTAATTTCTTTATTAACAATTTCGTGTTGCTCTCCCTCTTCCAAATGCGTTTGTGTTTCATTTACCAAGGATTTATTCATGCCCTCAGGAAGAATTTCCGCATTTTTCCTATTAGTTGCTCGCCCCCTTTTCCTTTTTTCTTTTGTGCTAAAGCGCTCACTCGTGTTCTGATTGCTATCCAAAACAATTTTTGAAGGTAACGTGTCAGTTACTTCCAAATCTTCTAACTTGGATTGTTTTTGCGTTATAGTTGAGGTTATAGCTTCCTTTTTTGGGGAAATTAGTACGTCAGATAATATTTTAATTTTCTTCAAGACGGAATTTTTTCTATTATTGACGTCTTCGGAAAGATTATTTTCTTCAACACTCATGTCTTGTGATTCTGAACTTGATTTATTAACTACTTCAGATTGTGCAAGAGTTTCTTCCACATTTTTTGAAATATTACAGCCTGTATCAGAGGTTAAAAGTGACTCAACTAAAAAATCTTGTGAAGGATTGTTTTCTTTAACTCCATGCTCTACTTGCATTAAGCGGAGATGTAAAGGAATGTCATCGACACTCTCAGTCGACCCGATCGATTCGTTTTGTAGTACTTCTCCTGTAAAATCTTTGGGGTCATTAAGAGAAACTTCAACGTTTGGATATTGAAGATTGGTGTTGGTTTGTTGTACTGTTTCCTGGATTTCTTCGTTAGGAATGCTTTGAAATATTTGTTTTTCAGTTAAGGATATTTCCTCTACATTAGGCAAAATATTATCGACCGTTGTATATTCGAGCGAAGACATCTCTCCCCCTTCTTGACTTCCTCTCTTTACTTGACTTATTCGAATATCTAAAGGAATATCATCGACGCTTTCAGGTGATCCAACTGATTCTTGTTGCACGAATTCAGTGTTATTAAGTTTTTCTTTCAGATTTCCAGAATGAACTCCAGTATTTGTTTGAAGAATAGTGTGTTCTTCAAAAGAATTCTCAGATACTGCAATTGATCCCAGTTGTGTCTTACGTCGTTTTTCTACCTTTGTTGGGTGACATTCCTTATTTGACAACTGATAATTGATGTTTGGATCAATGTTGTTATCTGATTGGACTGATTGATTAGGAGACATATCGTCTACATTCTCAGATGCTGTAATTGGTTTTGATTGCAATACTTTTGTTTTACGTCGTTTTCCCACTTTTTTAGAGGTAAATTCTACATTTGGTACCTGATGACTGATACTTGGATCAATGTTGATATCTGGTTGCTTTTCATCGTTTAATTCTTTAAGAGAAGAAACAGCATCTATATCTCATAGTTCTAGTCAATACTTTGTTTACGCTTTCCACTTTTGAGTAATCACATTGGACTGATACTGATACTTGGATCAATGTTGATATCAGTTGCTTTTTATTATTTAATTCTTTAAGAGAAGAAATAACATCTTTATTCTCATGTGTTGTAACTGGTTCTAGTTGCAATACTTTTGTTTTACGTCGTTTCCCCACCTTTTTAAGGGTAAATTCCTCATTTGGTGCCTGATGACTGATACTTGGATCAATGTTGATATCTGGTTGTTTTTCAGCATTTAATTCTTTAAGAGAAGAAATAGCACCTATGTTCTCAGGTGCTATAACTGAATCCAACTGTAACACTTGCCTTTTACGTCGTTTTCCCACCTTTTTAGGAGTAAATTCTACTTTTGGTACCCGATGATTGATATTTTGATCAATGTTGATATCTGGTTGTTTTTCAGCATTTAATTCTTCAAGAGAAGAAATAGCACCTATGTTCTCAGGTGCTATAACTGAATCCAACTGTAACACTTGTGGTTTTACGTCGTTTTCCCACCTTTTTAGGAGTAAATTCTAATTTTGGTACCTGATGGTTGACACTTGGATCAATGTTGATATCTGGTTGGTTTTCAGCATTTAATTCTTTAAGAGAAGAAATAGCACCTATGTTCTCAGGTGCTATAACTGGATCCAACTGTAACACTTGTGTTTTACGTCGTTTTCCCACCTTTTTAGGAGTAAATTCTACTTTTGGTACCCGATGATCGATATTTTGATCAATGTTGATATCAGGTTGTTTTTTAGCATCTTCAAGGGAAGAAGTATTATCTATATTCTTAGGTGTTAGTTGTATCACCTGTGTTTTACGCCGTTTTCCAACCTTTTTAGGGGTTAATTCAACATTTGGTACCTGATTGATGCTTGAATCAATGTTGTTATCGGCATCGAACTCTTTAAGAGAAGAAATATCATCACATACTTGTGTTAAACGTCGTTTTCCCACTTTTTTAGGGACAATTTCCGCAGTAGATATCTGTTTATTAATATTTAAATCAATGTTGTCACCAGATTGTTTTCTTGAATCTAACTCTTCAAGAGAAGCGATATCATCGACGGTATTGGGTACTGCAACTGATTGTGGTTCGAGTATTTCAGTTTTACGTCGTTTTTCCAGCTTTTTACAACGAATTTCTAGGTCCGGTTTTTGAATATTTACGTTTGGATCATCGGATTGTTTTTTAGTTTCGATCTCACGAACATCGATTTTTTCAGGTACCTTGACCAAGTTTGCCGGCAGACGACTGATGCTTATAACGTTTTTATCATATGTGAACTTCTCGATAATAGTATTATCGACATTCTTATGTGTTGTAACCGATTCTTGATTCCATAATTCTGTTTTAGGTTGCATATTAGATAAAACTTCTATATTTGATACTTGAAGTCGAGAGTCGACGTCAACATTGGTAATAAAAACTTTATTATACAATTCAATCGATTTATTTGTTTCAAGCGTTACACATGTGTCCACTAAATTCATCGAACAGGTAGTACTTTTTTTATCGCCCGATGAAGCAGTGGAAACATCTATAGGTAGATAATTCTCTTCACCTCCTGGTGTATCTAAAGGAACCTTATGAATACTCTCGTGTGACGGATTCACTTGGTGTTGTATTTCTTCAGTTTTAACTCTTTCCATCTTCTCAACCATAGATTTGATGTTGTTTTTGCAAGCTAACTTATATCGTAATTTTGGTGGAGTAGAAACTGAATAGTGCAGTGATTGATGTCCTAAAATTTGATAATCATTTCTAAAATTAGTCTCAGCGTTTGTTTTACTACAGCTTTCAGTTTTACTAGCGTTTACGTCTATAAGTGGAGTCTCGGCGTTTGTTTTGTTACAACTTTCAGTTTTTTTAGCGGTTTGCAACTCTACGTGTGTCTGTGATTTGTTGGAGGTAGTATTTTCTTCAAAAAACCCATCTCTGGTCTCTTCAGAAATGAGATTAGTGTGTATGTTGACCATGAGCTTGGAAGCACTTTCATTTGTGCGCGAAATTTCCTTTTTGGCAGTTTTTCTAACCGATCTCTTAATTTTGATGGTCTTCTTTGAAACCGTAGTAGTAGTTGGAGGAGAAACTTTACTGCGAAACTCGAGATGTTCTTCTTGTGTATCTTGATCATAAACACTTAAGTCATTATCTTTATTATCATCAATAAACAATTTATTACATTCACTATCATTGCTATCGGTATCAGTAGTGTCTTTAGTAGTAATGATATCAGGTAATTGGTGAATTTTAACATTATTAATTGGTGGAGTATTTCTAAATTCTTGTGGTTTCAGAATATCATCGATTAAATGCCTTCTATAGGCGCTCCTAGTCACCCGCTTTTCGCCACTTTCAGATTCCTTTGTGACGTAGTTTTTCTGTTTACGTCTTACAATTTTTCTCTGAAGCTTCTTTAAATCCAACTTACGGGGAATACTTTTACGTTGTTTCTTCGTACTTGGAACATATATCTCTGTTTCTTGATCTCGTATTCTTTCTGCTGTATTAGCTAGTAGATCCAAACCACCACGGGACTCTTGCGTCACCACCGCCTCTTTATACATATCCCAATTGAGATTATTCAAAGCAAAACTTCTATCGACACTGTTAATTTTGGACCAATCGCTGGTGACTGCGCCATGCAGCAACTGCACAGGATGAACAGGTTCTGCAGAAGTTGGAAAAACTCCTTCATTTGCAATTACTGTGGTCGGAGTCCCAAATATGATCGATGCTTTATCTTCAGGATGCACGATTTCTTTTCCTCCCACTTCGGTGTAAATTTGGTTTGAAGCAGCCTCAATATCCAACAGTATGTCGTCTTGTTTTTCCACATTTGTACCAACGATAACCTCGTTGACAAAACTATCTTCTATATGTTCGCTGGACTTCTCAGTTTCTTGAATTTCGTTTTTACTCTGACTTAAAACTCTGTCAGCGAGATTCGCAGAGAGATTTTCTTCGTTATTATCGATTTTTGTCGGTAAATTAGTATTTGGAGCGTTTATATTGATATTATCGTGAACGCATTGAAGATCATTAGTAACCTGCTGAAGGTGATCTGAAACTACAGCCACTTCTTTTTTCGATTCCTTAATGTTTTCCCCCACCACATTTTCCGAGCATTCAACAATTTGTTCATCTTGATACAATAGTTCTTCAGATTCGAATTCGATTTTGTGCTGCAAATTACTAGTAGCCTCACTGTCTTTAGTTGTGTTCAACTCATGTTCGTCTGTATTTATATTATCTTCCAAATCTTGCTTATATATTTCGACAACTACGTCTGTTTGAATATCTAACTCAGATTCAGAAATAATTTCATCATTTTCAGTAATTTGTACTTCTTCATTTAGTTCTTTTATTTCTGTAGTGGTCTCAATGTTTACATGTGTGACATTTTCTTTTATGTGCGTTATATATTCGCCTGAATCTTCAGTTTTTTCCAGCATTTGTGAAGTAGCGATTAACTCTTTTTCATGTAGACAACTTGGTTCGTCAACTAGTGACCGTGTTTTAGATATTTCCGAAGTGTGCTCATCTTCAAATTCCTGAGTAACTTCTTCGGTAAAAGATGAATCATTATTTGTGAAGTTTTCAATTTCTTGTAGCGGTTTTTCAACATTTATCGTTTGGTTATCTTCAGAAATTTGACATAAATCATCATTATATTCAATATCATCAATTTCTGGATGTTCCAATTCATTTGCACCTTCTAAATAGCAAAAAGTGGTAACTTCTTCCTGTGATACTTCTATGAAATCGGTTTCTAATTCCATAGTTTCCTCTATAATGAGATCAGCTCCTTCATCATCTACTTCTAGGCTTGGTTGAACTAAATCAGTTCTTGAAATAGCACTTTGATCATCAACAGTGTTGATAGTTTTATCCTCATGTAATACTTGTCTTGAACAAACTTCACTATCTAAAAAATCACTATTCTCAATACTAGTGGTTTCTGAGGCATGTACTATGTCTGCAAGTTCGGTAATATCCCTTTCGACGGATGACCAACTATCCTTAGTATCTTCATCACCATATACTGTTGATTGCCGAATTTGGTGACTCTCTGAACTACATCGGTCCTCGTTAACCGTTTTAGTACTAATTTTCTCAATTTGTTCAAGCGACGCACAAATAATGTCACTATTTGTATCGCTCTCCTTAGTATCTTCAAAATCACTTAAGCTTTGTTTCAACTGAATCAGGTCACTTTCTGAATTATAACATTTCTCGTCGTTTAGGTTGGCATTTCCGTCCCCATGATGCGTTTTTGTTAAATAAACTATGTTACTATCCAAGTGATCACTATTTTCATCCCTATCCTTAGTATCTTCAATATCTCTTACATTTTGCTTGGACTGGTCCACACCATGTCCAACCAAAAAAGAAGCCATGTCACTATCTAAGTGGTCACTGTTGTCATCGTCATTCTCAAGCTGAACCAGGTCCTTTTCTGAATTAGATCGTTCCTGATTTGTGAAATAAGTATTTTTATGTTCTTCTGTTGAAAAAATCCTCTCACTATCGGAATGATCACTATTTTCATCGTTATATTTAGTATCTTCAATATCACTTACATTTTGTTTGGACTGATCATTTACGTTGCTATTTCTGTCCTCATGTTGTGCTTGTGTTGAAGAAACCGTGTCACTAACTAAGTGGTCACTGTTTTCATCGCTATCCGTAAGCTGAACCTGCTCCTTTTCTGAATTAAACCCTTTCTGGTTGGTGAAATCGGTATTTTTATGTTCTGTTGAAAAAATCCGTTCACTATCGGAATGATCACTATTTTCATCGTTATACTTAGTATCTTCAATATCACTTACATTTTGTTTGGACTGATCATTTACGTTGCTATTTCTGTCCTCATGTTGTGCTTGTGTTGAAGAAACCGTGTCACTATCTAAGTGGTCACTGTTTTCATCGCTATCCTTAAGCTGAACCTGCTTCTTTTCTGTATTAGACCCTTCCTGGTTGGTGAAATCGGTATTTTTATGTTCTTCTGTTGAAAAAATCCTCTCACTATCGGAATGATCACTATTTTCATCGTTATTTAGTATCTTCAATATCACTTACATTTGTTTGACTGGTCATCTACGTTGCTATTTCTGTCCTCATGTTGTGCTTGTGTTGAAGAAACTGTGTCACTATCTAGGTCACTGTTTCATCGCTATCCTTAAGCTGAACCTGCTTCTTTCTGTATTAGACCCTTCCTGTTAGTGAAATCGGTATTTTTATGTTCTTCTGTTGAAAAAATCCTCTTACTATCGGAATGATCATTATTTTTATGGCAAATCTTACTGTCTTCATCATCGATTATTTCTTCTTCAAGCTGACTAAGGTCTTTTTCTGAATTAGACTTTTCCTGATTAGTGAAATCGGTATTTTTATGTTGTGTCGAAAAAAACTTGTCACCATCGGAATGATCACCATTTTCATCGCAAACCTTACTATCTTCATCATCAATTATTTTTTCCTGATTAGTGCAAACGGTATTTTTATGTTCTTTTGTTGACAAAATACTGTCACTATTTTCATCGCCAACCTTACTATCTTCATCAATTATTTTTTCTTTAAGCCGAATCAGATCACTTTCTGAATTAGACCCTTCTTGATTACTGAGATCCGTATTTTTATGTTCTTGTGTTGAACAAATTCTGTCACTATCGGAATGATCACTATTTTCATCGCAAACCTTACTACCTTCATCATCAATTATTTTTGCTTTAAACTGAGCCAGATCACTTTCTGAATTAGACCCTTCCTGATTAGCGAGATCCGTATTTTTATGTTCTTGAGTTGAACAAATTATGTCACTATCGGAATGATCACTATTTTCATCGCAAACCATACTATCTACATCATCAATTGTTTTTTCTTTAAGCTGAGTCAGATCACTTTCTGAATTAATATCTTTCTGTTTAATAAGATTGGGATTATTATCTTCTTTATGTTCTAGAGTTAAACAAATATTCTCTCTATTTGAATGATAACTAGTTTCATCGCTAACTTTAGTATCTTTATCATCACAAACTGTTTGTTTAAGCTGTATCCGGTCGCTTTCTGAACTATAACTTTTTTGATCAATGGGATTGGTATTTATATCTTCATGTTGTTGTGCTGAACAAACGTCACTATCTGAATGATCATCACTATTTTCTTCACTAACCTTGGTATCTTCACCACCACAAACTTTTTGTTCAAGCTGTATCCGGTCGCTTTCTGAACTATAACTTTCTTGGTCAATGGGATTGGTATTTATATCTTCATGTTGTTGTGTTGAACAAACGTCACTATCTGAATGATCATCACTATTTTCTTTGCTAACCTTGGTATCTTCACCACCACAAACTTTTTGTTCAAGCTGTATCCGGTCGCTTTCTGAACTATAACTTTCTTGGTCAATGGGATTGGTATTTATATCTTCATGTCGTTGTGTTGAACAAACGTCACTATCTGGATGATCATCAGTATCTTCACCACCACAAACATTTTGTTTAAGCCGAAACATGTCCTTATCTGCATTAGAATCTTCCTGTTCAATGAGAGTAGTAGTGTTATCTTGTTGTTCTTGAGTTGAATGATCACTATTTTCAACATCACTTTCTTTTTGTTTAACCTGAATTAGTTCATCTACTGCTTCGATATTAATGTCTCTATCTTCAATTAATTGACCTTTAATATCATTTACTTTCTGACTCGATCGTACTGAATCAGATTGAAAGTCAATACTTTTAGGATTAATGCTAGTAACATCTTCTTCATGGGTAGTTTTAGTCACATTAATATCAGAATCAATATTACACTGACTCACTTCGCCGTCTTGTACATTCTGAATTGTTTCAGTTGGTGGAGTTATCAAATTATCCGATAGTCTCTGGACAGCTTGAATTTCATCAGCACTTAAACTAGCGCTTTCAATATCAATTACTTTCTGGGCTATTTGAGGTATTTCTGCACTCCGTGCGACAACCTCAATATCCCCATCTTGTACTATTTGCGTGTCTTGAATTAAAGCGATGTTGGAATCAGCAGTTTTCTCATCCATGACATTGGATTCGTAATCTGAAGATAGCATTAGATTGGTTAAGTATTTTTCTTCAAAATCAGAATATGAACTTAACGAGTATTCTTTTTTAGATCCAATAGAAGTCTCAATATTTTTCTTTAGTTGTTTGTCACTGTCGTAATCAGAGTCAACAGATGATTGAATTGGTTTAGTTTTAAAATCAGAAATTTTGGAAGTTTCCAAATGTTTAATTTTTTCTAGTCGTATCATTAATTGTTTATCTACTTTTTTTCGAATTATTTTATCATCACTACTTTGGAACTGAGGTATTAAATTATCACAGTGGGACTCAGCAGAAACTAGCACATCTACAGTTAGACTATTTTCATGAAATATTGAACCTTCTAAAATGTTCCGGTTAGATATTTCATCATATTTTTGTACATTATTTTCATCACTCGTGGCTTTAGAGTCACATGTACTTTTAATTGAATATATTTCGGTACATTTTGACTCCGTTGTGTCTGTATTTTTGGAGTGATTTTCATCACTAGTGGCTTTAGAGACACATATAATTTTACCTGAATCTAGTTCACTACATGTTGACACTGTTGTGTCTGGTTCAGTTACTAGACATTCATCACCACTCCTTCGGTTTACTTCGCACTCATTTGGTACCAGCATTGATTCCACAAGATCCATTTGATTTGTCGAGTCCGCAATGCTTGATACGTCAGAATCTTTTGCAGGTGTTGAATTATTATGCACCAATGTTTGGGATGTTTCTCTGGATACAGAGCCATTATGAGTTTTATCTTCAACACAAATGATGTCGTCGCCTGAATCTTCTTCTTCGCTTTTCACCTCTGTACATGAAGCGTGTTGATCAATAGTTGCATTGAAGCAATCTAGTGAGTCCTCATCGCTTAGTTCTATAATATTGACACTACTATTTCGTCGTACTCGTGTTCCAGTTGTGCAATTATTATCTTCCGATATTATATCACATAGTTCCCTTATTAATTCATCATTCTCAACAGTTGTGGATTCTGGACATATATTATTGATTCTTCTTGCGTTTTTAGATCTCCTTTTAGACCTTTGCCTTCTGCTTTCTGACTCTTTACAAAAATATGAAAGTTCTTCGTCACTTTCTAATCCACTCTCGTCCAAGCAAATCGTATAAACCATCTTTTTATTTTTTGAACTATCAACTTCATATTCCGATCGGGAGATTTTCGCTGCTTCAATTTTGATTTCTAGATCGTCCTCCTCTGTAGCTTCTTCGTGTATTGTCGGTAATTCTTCCTAAAAAGAGATATTTATTATTTTATCATGAATTAATTAACTAAAATATTAGGGCATCAGAAAAAATTCAAAAGGCTATAAAAATTGCTCTAGCACAGACAGAAAACTATAACAACATAGACTCAGCTTGGAAAAATATCAAAGTAGCTCTGACAAGCGTATCAGATGAAATACTAGGACACAAAAAGAAAACAACAAAAAAATGGTTCGATGATGATTGCCTGAACTCCATATTAGCAAGAAATATGGCTAGAAGGAACATGCTACAAAGCCCCTCGCACAACAACAATGAAATGTATAGACAAAGAAGAACAGAGACAAGAAAACTAATGAAAAGGAAGAAGAGAGAGTATCAGGTACAAATAATCAGAGAAATAGAAGAAAAAAGAAAGAACAAACAAGCGAGGCAGTTCTTTAAAGGAGTTTCAGATATCAAGACCGGGTACCAAGCAAGAACAGGAAACTTTCTTCAAAACGACAGTGGACAGCTTATCACTGATGACAAGGAAATCTTAAAAACCTGGAAGGAATACTTCTATCAACTATTGAATGACCAATCTAGCAGAAGTACATCAAACATAGAGGTACATACAGCTGAAATAGAAGACCAATACCCGACATACGAAGAAGTAATACAGGCAATTAAAAAACTCAAAAATAATAAGACACCAGGTAGCGATGGTATACCCGCAGAGTGCTTAAAACATGGAGGAGAAGCATTGTACAGTTCGATATACAAGCTAATTCAAGACATTTGGCAAGAAGAAACAATGCCAGATGAATGGAAAGAAGGGGTTATTGTACCAATACACAAAAAAGGAAACAAAAAGCAATGTATTAACTACAGGGGAATAACACTCCTAAACACCACCTACAAAATCCTTGCAAACATCCTGCTAGAAAGAACCAAAACATACACAGAAGAAATCGTTGGAGATTATCAATGCGGATTTAGACCGGGCCGCTCTACAATTGACCAGATATTCACAATAAAACAGATAATGGAAAAATGTTGGAGTTTGATCGTGAGCTTCATCAGATGTTCATAGATTTTAAACAAGCATTTGATAGAGTATGTAGGGACAGACTGTGGACAGCGATGAGGAACTTGGCTTTCCAAAAAAACTAGTCCGGTTGATACGGATGTGTATGGAACGGTTACAATGTAAGGTGAGAGTTGGACAACAATACTCGGAGACATTTGAAATAAACAATGGACTAAAACAGGGAGATGCACTTTCACCACAACTCTTCAACTTAGCTCTGGAGCACATAATCAGAAGTGCAAGAATCGAAAAAACCGAATACAGTATTTCATCGAGAAGGACCAAACTTACTACTGGCATTTGCAGACGATATAGATCTAATAGGAAACACGCGATTAAGGATGAAGGAGACTTTCGTAAGGTTTGAGAAGGAAGCAGAGAAGATGGGGCTCCAAATCAACGAAAACAAGACGAAATATATGTATATGAGCCGCAATAACCAAAGCAGAGACAGAATCGGTCAGAACATTACCATCGATGACTTTAACTTTGAGCGCGTTAGGGAATTCAAATATCTTGGAACAACAATAACTGAAGACAATAACGGATCACAAGAAATAAACAACAGGATTCAAGCCGGCAACAGATGTATTTTTGCCCTCCAAAACCTTATAAAATCAAAACAACTAACACGACGTACGAAGATACAGGTCTATAAAACAATCATACGACCCGTTGTGATGTATGGAAGCGAAACGTGGACGATGACAAAGGCAAATGAAGAGAGACTACGTGTTTGGGAAAGAAAAATCCTAAGGAAGATCTTTGGTCCGGTGCTTGATGAAACATCAGGACAATATAGGATAAGAACTAATAAAGAGCTTGAAGAACTTTACCCAGACGCCAACATCATAAAAGAAATAAAGTCCAGAAGACTCCAATGGGCAGGACACCTCAGAAGACATTCTGACGAACGAACAGTAAGACTGGTGTGGCAGGAAGTCCCAACTGGAAGGAGACCACGCGGACGCCCTCGTCTCCGGTGGCGAGATAATATAGCAGGAGACCTAAGCACTATGGGCGTGGAGAATTGGATGGAGGTTGCTCAAGACAGAAAACAGTGGAGGCATGTTGTCGAGTCGGCTAAAACCCACGAAGGGTTGTAACGCCACGGAGTAAGTAAGTAAGTAAGTATCAGAAAACATTAGGGAAACAATTTCAACGTTTTAGTTGCTTAAACGTATGGTCGGTGGACAGCAGTAGGCAAGTCAATTTTTGGGAAACACCTAAATTCTTATTATTAGAAACATCTAAAAAATTATATCCACTGAAATCAAACAGACCAAGTAAAATGTTAAACGTGTACAGCTGCTGGAACGAACCACGGCCGGTGACAAACCACTCCCTCAAGATGTGCCGTTGCTACTTGTTGGAACGACAATTCCAATAAAGAACATGACTGATCAGACTGATAGTGCGATGATCGCTACACTGTTTGGCATTTATTTGTTTCGGTATCGTTACAAATGTTGACAGTAGCCAGTCTGTCGATATATGTCCTGTTTCGTATATTTTATTAAAGAGGCTTAGAAGAGAATGTTTGCCCTTATCGTCGAACAGTTTGATTATTTCGCTTGGAATTTCATCTGGACCGGTTGCTTTCCTTTGATACCTTTATAGCTTTTTCCATTTCATCGAGTGTTATGTTTGGACCAGTTGATATATTTTTTATTTGAATTTCTGTTCTATCGTCATCAAACAGCTCCTTACTATATTCTTTCCACCTCTCTAATCTGTCTTGTTCATTGATTATAATATTTCCTTGTTTATTAAGTAAACTACTTGTAGTTGGTCTATATGTTCCAGTTATTTCTTTTGCCTTTTTGTATATATTAAACGTGTCATTCTTTTTCTGCGGTTCTTCTATTTCAAGACATTTGTTGCTGCACCATTATTCTTCAGTGTTTTTATTTTTTTTGTTTTCGCCTGCTTTCCATTAGTCCCAATATTTTATCAGTCATCCATTGTTGTTTGCGATTATTAATAGTTTTATACTTTTTCGTTGTTTCTTCCATAATGCTTTTGACATGATTCCAATGGTCTTTGACGTTATGAGCACGAAATAAATTTTACAAATTACACAAAATGGTTGGAAAAAAAATTACTTCTTAACCTACCTCCAGGGTTGATCGTGATTATTGAAACCACGACCATTCTAACTGTAGAAAGTAAATTATAGAATGGTTAAGATTCAAGAATATTTATTTTGACAGGAATATGTTAAAACCTGATTTGTACAACATTATTAAACTACAAGATTACGCAATTGAACTGTTACCTATTCAAACGATCATAATTTTTTTGTGTGAAATTATTTTTTATTGAATCACATGACAAAAATTTGTGAAAATAATCCAAATTTCAGAATCCACTAATTTTAACTCGATGTGGCCAGCTTTTGCATTGACTACGGCCTTCAAACGATCAAAAAACGAGTTGCACATGCTGCACAAATGTGATCTTCCGGTATTTTGGCCCATTCACGTATAATTGCTTTCTTCAGCGCATCCATACTGGCATATTTTTTAATCCTCGTCTTGCTTTCCAAAATGGACAGATGGAATAGTCCATCGGATTTGCGTCTGGCGAATTCGAAAGCCATTGTGTGGATGAAATGAAATGTGGAACATGATTTTTTTGACCATTCTTGGTTCACACTAGCTTTATGAGACGGTGCCATAAGTTTTTTATGAACTGCTCAACGGGGAAATTTTTCTCATCAGATAACACTATGTTCGGAAATTCGCCATGTTCGCGCAAGCGTAACAATTCATTTGCTCTTACAAGCCGAACTTTTTTTTTAAAATCAAAAGACTGATATGTTTTTTGTACACACTTATGACAAGTCAAAAGAAAAGGCAAAAAAGTATTTTTGAAGTGTGTATATTTTTTAATAATTCCTAGCTGAGCGCTTTCGGCTTTACAAAGCCATCATCGGAGCTGTGCTACAATAAAATGTTTTTATAAGTAACTAATTGGTGAAGATTTTAATTTTATACTTACGTCAATTTATAAATACCACTACAATGGAGAGATCTCATTTCCTTATTTGTTGAAATTTTGATTTTTTTTATATAATTACTTAGTTGTTAAAAATTCTTAAAAAACATACAAAAAACCGACACTGGACTTCACAGATAAATTAAAAAATTTTTGTCATGGTACGGGTGTAAGAACCCGACCATTGTTTGCTATGAGGAGGTAGACAGAATAGAACTAATGAAATCAAATGTCGGCCCCTTTAAACGATTTTTCAAAAGTGACAGTTGACAAATGTCATGTATAGGAAATAGAGATTGTTTTAAATTCTTACAAAATTATTTAATAGTTTGGAATTACTAATAGTCATCAAAGACTTTCTACAAATTAAGTTTTTTAAATTAAATCTTATGTGTTCATCACATCATACAGAATGATATTAGTTTGTAAATTGACTGAAGTCATTGATCAAGGTCAATGTATGTTCAATCTGAGTTTATTTGTATATACTGATTTGAGTATGTACAATCTGATATTGTTTCTTAGGGATGACTGTCAGATTGAACATACATTGACCTTGATCAATGACTTGAGTCAATTTACAAACTAATATCATTCTGTATGATGTGATAAACACATAAGATTTAATTTAAAAGCTTAAAAACTTAATTTTTAGAAAGTATTTGATGACTATTAGTAATTCCAAACTATTAAATAATTTTGTAAGAATTTAAAACAATCTTTATTTCCTATACATGACATTTGTCAACTGTCACTTTTGAAAAATCGTTTAAAGGGACCGACATTTGATTTCATTAGTTCTATTCTGTCTACCTCCTCATAGCAAACAATGGTCGGGTTCTTACACCCGTACCATGACAAAAATTTTTTAATGTGTCTGTGAAGTCCAGTGTCGGTTTTTTGTATGTTTTTTAAGAATTTTTAACAAC